ACATATAACTAAATAATAAGTTACTACAAACTAGACGATCTACCGCACTGAGATTCGAACCGATGACCAAAGTCTTGACAGTCGCAAATCTTTATTCCATCGCTTACGCGTTAGTGAATTTGTTTTCAAAATTTGATATTCTGTCTGTAGCTGAAACTAGAATAATAAAAATATTAAAGTAATTTAAATAAGTAAATATTTTAATGTTTACTTTAAATTGCATTCGTTTGCCATGGTTTCGCTCGGTTTAATACGTTCATGGTATGGTATATCAGTGTCTTTGGCTTCTTAACTGGTTGCTCTCGTTCACTTCATTTTCACTGTTAACTGTGCAAACGCTTCTGCATGATTTTTCTTAAGCAAACAAAACTATTTAAACTTAACCTTAACACACATCGAGTACAACTGCCAATACTATACACTGAAGATATATAAATGTATTCTACGATTGTACATAGCTTTCGAATATACATGACCGTGAAAACGTTTTCATTAAGATAAAAGATATAAAAATGACTTGACATAATTCGAGATCATTTTATCTTAAACATCTTTAAAAATGCTTCTTCCACTCTGTCCTTCCTCTCTCCCCCCTTTGATGATGATAAGTGAATCTTTTGTTTTTGTTGATAAATCCAATTAATAAGCAAATTATAAGGTACACAGCTGCAAATAACACACATAACACATTATAACACGACAACAACACCAATGGCCACACATGTGATGAACTTCTCAAAGAATTGAAGAATAATTTATTTTCACACATTTTTATCAAATTTATTTAGTATTTTGTGTTACCCATACATCTTTTTGAATATCGGATTGTTGTCGTTCGCTGTATTTGTTGTTCTAGTCGTTATCGTTGATAGTGGGTGGGTTGAATTGTCTGTTAATCTATACAATTATTCGCATGCATATCATTCTATTTTAGTTGATTGCGCTCTTGGCCGACATTGAACTCCTGATATGCTAAACATATTGAAGGCGTGTTGGCATAGTGAAACTAGCGGTAGTGTGTAATATAAAACTTGAAGAAAAATCAATATTTTTTATTTTACACCAAAAGAGCTGCATATCTTTCATAAGAAACAAACACAGCCGCAGTGCAGAGGTGAACGTTTTCATATATTTTCCACATTATTTTCCTTAAGCAAAACAAACGGAATCAGCTGATGATAAATACGTTGAACCTGAAGATAATAAGCAAAAAAAAAGAAAAAAAAAAAAGAAGAAAACAAGAGAATTATATTCGGTCATGACCGAATCTCTTACACTCATCGTCATTATCTTAAGAAAGACCAAAAAGTAAGGGAAAGAACTACTTTTTTCCATATTCTATAATATTGGATGTTGCATAAGCGTGTGGGCGCTGCAAACATGTTGTTTGATCGATTTAGGTCATTTTGACTTGTTTTTTTGTTTTTGTAAATTTGTATCTTTGTTATCTTAATTTTTGCGAACAGAAAGATTGGATGGACAGACGGACACATTTAGATGCATTCTCAAGCTTGCTTTTGCACGCGTTATAACGACAATGGAAAGAAAATTAAATTTCGATAGACTATAATGTTGGGTAGCCGTGGGTTAATTTGTCTCATTTGTTGTACAGATACTACAGGATCACCCATAGAACATGCATTCAATCTTTTGTAGATTTATCTGCTGTAATTGACGAGAGATGAGTAAAAAACTAATTTTTTATTCCTTTTGAAAATCAGGGATGTGTTCTCCCAGCTTAGTGACTACTGTAGACAAATGCTTCAACCGATTTGTCCCATTTTCAATATCAACCTGCGTGCAAGATCTTTCAATGTCTCCGTCAAATTTGAAATCGTTAGTTTCAGAAGAATGTTTATTACAATAGAGGGACAGACGGACATACCTAAATCGTTTCAAAATTCGATGCTAATCAAGAGTGTATAAATACTTTGTGGGATTTCTGAAGTTTCCTTCGGTTCGTTACAAACGTTTTGATAAAATGCATATACCCTTCATCCTTCGGTGGTGGTTATGAAACAACGAAAAAGTAGTGCTAACTTTGCACAAGTTAAACTCTCTCTCCCTTCAAAAGTTTTTTGAGTTCGGTTTGTGTTAAACAGTATATGAAACCACATCAAAACTTTTATCGCACAAAAAAACTATTATTTTTTTCCCCCCAATATAAGCGTAGGCATAAAGGATTGCTTATTTCTTGTTAATATAATCACAGGAAATGAAACCACAAAATTGTCTCATTGTATAATAATATGAGCTACAATTACTGTAGTACTTAGTTGATAAATAAAATACATACACTTAACGTTGCGAAGTTGTTCATCATTGTTGCTCTTGTTGAGCAAAAATTTACATGCACTGATATATCATATCATATATCTTTAACACTTAAGTTAAAACGGATCATCGAAGAAGAGATGAAGCGCCGTCCATTTTATTCAGTTCGTACCTAAAGGCGTCCGTCAAGGCGCATGTAGGCGAGGATTTCTTTTTTTTTTTTTGAAAGAAAAAAATTTGATTTTGATTTGATGAAAATATGATTTTTCGAAAAGGATACACGCAGTAATATCCTGACTATCTTTTGAAAAATAGTACAAAAGAAAAAAAAATAAAAGCTAATAGAGTCTTCTTGAAAATCCTTGATTCCGAGTGGTACTACAAAGCAATATATCAATGTTTCTTGTATGAGATCCTATATCAAGATCAGCTGTGCCATTAACGGTTCTATTAAATTTTAAATAAATTTATTTAAAATTAATGTATCTAGTTCCTCGGTAATGAAGCATCTATCTAAAACAGTAGATAAACTCAAAATTGCGACGGAACTTTCCTCTACTTTTATTGAATCGCTTGCCATCGGATATGCTATTTATTATGCTATGGTGGTCTTAAAAAGTATGTTGTTTTTTCCACTTTAAAAAAAATAAAAGACATTCAGATAATCAATGTGTGTGTGATATACATAGGATGCTTATACGAATCTTAAGTGGATGATCGTCATCTTCTTTGGATATCTGGTCACTGCGGCTTCTTTTTTTAATGAAAATTCTGATTTTCATGCAGAAAGAGCTCAAGCTGATGGTAGCGATTCATCCATCGACCAATTATCGAATTTTTAACTTTGACGACCCGCGAGCCAGCCAAGCTATGTTGCAACGTTCTGAACAAGTGGTAATCAAAAGACGTCATGTCTGGCGAGTACATCGAGTGTTGCTTCGAGCTTCCCATTCGACCAAGGTGTCCTGGGCAACTCTTGCAACAACCAGCACAAAAATGGCATATTCAGTCAATTCGTCTCGTCATTTTCAAAGTGATGAACCGAAAGCTGACAATTGTCATATGATGGAGCAGCGTCATCATACGACTTTGAGCAGATTTCTTCAAATAGACAAAAAAAGTAATGAATTTGAAAGAAGAGTAATTTTTGAGCACACAATGATTAACGTCGGCATACGCTGAATGAATCAATGATATTAAATGGAAAACTATTATTTTATATAGAGGAAGGTTTAAACCATCGAATTTGCAACCATTATGTACACTGGTATATCCCATTCCTTTATCGTTTTTATATGTAAAAGTCGCTGATCAAAATTTTTGCAATCATCTAATAATAATATATAATAAATAATCATACCATGACAGGCGAATAAACTGCATTCCTCTCTGCCTACTCCAGTCCTTGTGAACATACGAATCAATCAAACATATTTTCCCATAGTCTCAAAAAATGCTATTGTTAGATTATTTTATTAAATCCAGTTCTCAAATGAAGTCCAATTTATTTCTATGAAACTATTGAATGTGACATATTCTTAATTTTCTCAATTTATTTTCAAGATCTACGTATTATTATTATATATATTAGTTTGGGGAAAAAGAAATCCATTATTTTTTCGGTAGATGGCTGCACTGACAGATTTCTCGTAAAGTATCGATCAAACAATTTCAAATTTATGCTCGTTGGAAAGGTGACATTTCGCAGTAAAAAAAATTCTTTTGCTGTTTTTTGTTTGGTGCATTCAGTTGTGAGTTACAGCGTGTGAAAAATGGAAGTGAACAAAGAGAAAATTCGGTACATTTTACAGTTTTTCTTTGACAAAGGTGAAAATGCAAGCCAGGCGGCTAAAATTGTGAATGGTGTTTATGGTTCCGATACTGTAACAGCCAATTATGTGCAATTTTGGTTTCGTAGATTCCGTTCAGGAATTTTTGATGTTAAACATGCACCTCGCACAGGTAGGCCGGTCGTCGAAAATGTCGATAAAATCGGGGAAGTGATCGAAGTTGACCGGCGTGTTAGCAGTCGTAACATCGCCCAGGAGCTAAAAATCGACCATAAAACAGTTTTAAACCATTTACACTAAGCTGGATTCAAAAAGAAGCTCGATGTTTGGGTGCCACACCAATTAACAGGAAAAAACATGATGGATCGAATTTCCATCTGCGAAGCCTTGGCCAAACGGAATGAGATAGACCCATTTCTTAAACGGATGGTGACTGAAGATGAGAAATGGATCACATACGATAACCCTGTGCGAAAACGATCGTAGTCAAAGAGCGGTGAAGCACCTCAAACGACCAGGAAGGTTTTGCTATGCATTTGGTGGGACTGGAAGGGGATTATTTATTATGAGTTGCTTCCATATAGCCAAACGCTAAATTCTGATCTCTACTGTCAACAACTGGACCGTTTGGGAAGTTTTAATGCATCCGCCATACCGTCCGGGCTTATCATCTCTTTCTTGCATTGCAAAATTTCTTTAATGATAAAAAATTGGAATCTAGTAAGGATTGTGAAAATCGACTGCTAGAGTTTTTTTAAAATGGCAACAAATCATACAACAAAATGGTGCATATTTGACCCAAATCGGACAATCCGAAGCATGTTAAATAGAGTCCTGAAGTTCATATAAAAATTATGGATTTCTTTTTCCCCAACCTAATATTACAGGTTTCTTTACATTAACAGAATTCTCTTTCTTTTTTTTCCCCCATTTCAGAAGAAAGAACTCGAAAGCATTCTCAGTTTGTGGGAGGATTTTTCAAACAAAAGCAAGTATCGGATTGAACGGGTCCATTTATATTCAATAAAAGGTAGAGAGTTGTAAAGGAATAAGAAGAACAACTTCAGGTAATAGATTAATTAAAAAAAACTTTGCAACATGGTGGACTATTACAAAGTCTTAGAAATAACGCGCAGTGCTTCTGAGAATGAAATAAAAAAGGCGTAAGTAAAAAACATTTAAAAAACAAAATAATCAAATGAATATTGTTTGCGTAATCGTGAATGTTTTTTCAAACAGCTACAGGAAATTGGCATTAAAATGGCATCCTGATAAAAATCCTGATAATCTGGATGAAGCCAATCGACGTTTTCGTGAACTATCAGAAGCTTACGAAGTGTTGTCGGATGGTAAGATCTCTTCCTTTTTCACAAAACAAATCGCGCAATTTTTTCCCCCTGTACATAGAAATATGAGACGTGAAAAGCGAGACTGTATAATATTTTATTTAATCATTTGCTATATTCGGAGGCCTTTGTTCATATTTCTCTCAAATCCGAGAGAAATAGAGAGAGAGAGAGAGAGGGAGATAGTCTTAGTTAGCTTTTACAGTCCAAATTTAGCAGATAAAATAGAGGAATATTCACCAGGATGTGAATCTTTCATACCCGCTATCCATTGTCTTAAATTAATATATAAAAATTGGAAAATATTTCCTTAATTGGGAACGTGTGAAAAGGCAGCAGCTAATTAAGGGTTAAAAAGTAGAAGAACGCTTTTGAGCGAATCAAATCCATCTTTGATGAAGTAAAAGCTCTCTAAGTGGACCATGTGAGAAGGTAGCAGCTAATTAAAAAATTTAGAAAGTACAGTACCGCTTTTGAGCGAATCAAATCCATCTTTGAAGAAATAAAAGCTTTCTAAGTAAACCAACGCTCCATCATTAAATACTCTACGTCTACAAAAAAGATCCGACCCGAACCATTTTCAATAGTGTTAGATCAAAGCACGCCCGCGTGCCAGATTCTATCGAAATATCTCAAAAATTGCTATCTGTTAGTTGAACATGAGAATTCAACACGGACGGACGGACGGACAACATTGATTCAGAAAGTGAATTGATGGGTGTAATAAAAGATAAACCTATCTCAAGTCCTTTGAACATAAGAACGCAAGACGGACGGACGGACAGACAAGATCGATTTAGAATGTGGTTCCGAATCGATGACCCTGATATCCGCACAAAAGTTAGTATATCCTTGTACCACGTATAACTGCATTTGTAATCGTCGACTAAGACTGCGGGTCAGTGAGGATGGTTGCACACCGATGCAATAGTGTATAGTACATAGATTACATATATATATATGTGTAGTAAATAAATTAAACATATATGCAATTATTTCCGCCATTAACAAGCGTTAATAACTGACCACTTGCAAAGCGTGTGCATAGTATGGCTTTCTAAAATTCAATGACCTCTAAATTTGTGTATGCAGGATTTCAGTTTCTCCCTTTACTTTTGGTCGAGTGTAAATATTGCGCAACAAAGAACATTAAACAATGGAGGATGATAGACGAATAATAAATACATTTAAGTTGACGTAGAATCTTATACTAATCGCAATTGTTAGTGTACTATAAAGCGTAAAGGGGGAACATGTTGTATAATAAAATAACCATTCTGTGGCGAGTATCTAAATGCACTTATAATAGCTAAGACTAGTTTAATGATATTTTCTCAATATCGCTTTGCTGTAGTTCGCATACTGTTAGTCTCAATTGTATATAATTTTCCGAATTTTTTCAAACTTAAAAAATTTTTATTGCGCTGGACTCGCTGTTGTTGTTGTTGGTCTTTAGAAAATATTTACAAACAGGTGTAAAAGCTTCTTGCGGGTTAAACCAATAGCAATAACAATAAAAAGGATGGTGTGTTAAAGATGGGGAATTCCTTAAGGAAACATATATCTTACGAGATACCTTACCTTAACCTTTTTGGGGTACCGGGTTCCCCTGGGAAAAACATCCATTGCAGCCCAAGATTCTTTTCATGATTATATGACTACAATTGGAATGGATATTAGTCTTTACCGCCGATACATTATATTCGATAGACGACCTCAGTCTTCATACACTTTACCGTTTTATTCAATCCACAAGAGCCTTAGTCAATTGTTGTCGAACTCCAGCGGCCTCGTGCATGCCTGCATAACTGTGTTACATAATTAATATTATAATTGGAATGACAAAATAAATATCACAGTTGATGTCAGTGCCATCCGCCATAACGATGCATTTATGTGCGTACGCGTTATCTGATTATTGCATAAGATTTGCCGCAAGCAAATGTTTCCAAAATTTTTCATAAAATCATAAGGAATATTTTTTACTTTCATAAATTTAAAAAAGAGTTATTTGTTTTTTATTTTTTTCTATTATTACGTAATTATTTAGACGGTAAACGTAAAATATACGATAGGCGTTCGACCCTACATAAAAGTTCTTATACTGGTAGTAATAGCTCATCAACGAAATACTCCTCTTCTACGTATCCTAATGCTGGCTCTTCAGATGCTTACGCCAATTATCGTTATCGCACTTCAAGTGGAGGTGGTGGTGGTGGTGGTATTGGCCGCGATTATGGTAGTTACTCTCCCTCCTCTTATGGTTATGGTTCAGCAAAACGAGGCAATCGCTATCAGACATTTACCTTTAGAAGTCTATTTGAGTCGACACCATTCCACAAATTGTTCGGTAAACCAAAAAAAAAAAAAAAAAAAAAAATTCAAAGTGTCCAACAAAAGCAAATTACGTTGTGTTTTTTTTTTTCTTGTTGCGTTAAACTGATCCGATTGACACTCTATACTGCCTTTATACTGCGTTTATCAATTATTATTTCGCGTTTTCTTTTACTCTTCTCATAACATTTTATTATTATGATGACTTTTTTTATGCATATAATTGAAAATAATCTGCTAACCGCCTGCTCTTAAATTGTGTTACCTTTCTTGACTTTATAAAAAGCATGCAAAGTATTTTCTACTAACAAGTGCTGTATTTTTATTTAACAATCGCGTAATCCCTCCCTTTTTTTTTTTTAATAAATTTTGAAAACGATTGCTGCCAATAGAGAGTTGTCATGATTTACTACAGGAGGTGCAGATAACATGGTCGACGTGAAATTTTGTGTCGATTAGACTATGTCTGTCCGTCTACGTGTTGTTGCTATTGTCTCGTGGTCGCAAAAATTTAAACAACGAACTTGAATTTAACGCAATCGAAGAGGGGCCGACGATCATGCGTGCAAAGCAGACCAGCTGGCGATATAATAAGCAAATTGCAAGGGGAAGTCGTCTTTGCAAACACTTTTTCATAATAGTTATGCGAAAAAGACCTCAAGTGTCTTCTTATACAAGCTCGTTTAGCTTATTTATACGATCGTTACGCATTACTTTTACTCTTAGCCGGAAGAATCGTCACAACGATTGGTGTCTTTTGCCCCTATAATGAGTTCCGTTCGGATGAATGTCGATGCGTCTCAAAAATCATTTCATAGAAAAATTCTGAAAAAATTGTCGCTCCATAATGACTAAAAACTAAGAATAAAAATTTTCTTCATTTATTTTGTGATTTAAAAAAAAAAAAAAAAAAAAAAAAAAAAAAAAAAAAAAATGATGTGTCTCTCTGTATAAAATTAATCCCATTAACTGCGATTAAAAAATCCAAGAGTAAGGCGAATACATATTCGAATACCAGGGGCTCTGAGCTAAACTGAACGTTTTAAAAATATTGAGAAGAAAAAGACAGTTCTTGTAATGTTTTTTTAAGACTATGTCCAAAAACTATCGCAATAAATGCAAACAATTGCTGATTATGATGTCGTTAACTCGCAAAGATATTTGCTTCTGTGAAAATTCGCTCAGCGGGACGTATGCTCTTCTAAGAAAAAACAATTCCTCTCTTCTTTTGATTCTTTTGACAAATTAAAGGCTGCAAGAAAAGCGCGCAATCTTATTGGAAAAGCCATCGAGTTCGAAGAAGCGAAGGCGAGCCCTCTATTACCTATAAGAAGCTTTTAACTTAAGAGAACCAATTCGATCCATTGTATTTGTTCGGCAAAAAAACCCCTAGATAGGGAAAGTGTATGCTTATAGTGAGCGTGGAACCGCAGCTAACTGTAAAGCAAAAAATTGTATTCATTTACATTTCAACTTTAGTTCATTTTACGGCCTCGTTATATATATCACCTCTACGCCGCCAAATAGAGTAAGAAATTTTGATAGGAGATTTCACTGACTATGTATATATTGTTGTTACTGTCTTTCTTACTAATACCATATGTGTAAATTTAATTTGGAATGATTACTACAACTTTCTTTCTTTATTCTTTCTTTTGTTTTTGTTTTTGTTTTTTTTTTTCTCTTTATTGGTTACAGAGAAGAAACGCCTTATATACGACCAATATGGCAAAGAAGGTCTAATGGGTGATCGTGGACATAGTTCAACGCGACATCATGGCCACGAGGATGACTTTGATTTAATGGGCGGTTTTCCATTTGTTTTTCGTTCGCCTGAAGAAGTTTTCCGTGAATTTTTCGGCACTTCACCATTTGCTAGTTTATTTAATGGTAAGCAAATCATCTCTGTAACTTAACTCTTTAGCGTTTTGCATTTGCAATTGTAATTACATTTGCTTTAGATCCCATGATATATTCGGTCAATAGCGGTGGACGTTCGAACATGTCGGGGGCACGCGGGAGTAGCCGTAATCATCAACACCATCAACAACACGGTATAAATACGAAATTCAATTCACCAATGGTCAACTACTCAATGATGGATTTTCTAATGCCAGGCAACAATGGCTTCTCGTCATTTGCTACATTTAGTAGCAGCGTATCAAATGGCTCTTCAGGACGTAGTGGTGGTGTTAACGGTGCCGTCAAGCGTACCTCGACGTCAACCACTTTCGTTAATGGCAAAAAGCTAATGACCAAACGGTTCGTAAACTGAATTAATATTTAATTACATTAGTAGAAATTTTTAATGAATGTTTTCTTCTTTTTTTTTTTTTTGTATTTTGTTTTTATTTTTTATACATTTATATACAGCGTGTTTGAAAATGGTAAAGAAACTGTTCTTTCATATGAAAACGACGTCCTGAAATCAAAGACTGTGAACGGAGTTGCCCAAAAACTCTCTTCAATTAGCAATTAAGGCACAAGTCATTAATGAAAAACAAACTAATCGTAACAATTTAACAACAACAATAACAGCAAGAACAACAATAACTAACCCAAAAATAGAGAAGGAGCCCCTTAGCACATACATACACACACACACACACCTATATACATACATAAGCAAATATACTTACATATATCAATACATAAATACATACATACGTACATACATATATACAATGCATTCAAATTGAAATTTAAACTAAACATAAAAATTCTTTCATATTTCAATTGAATATCATTTTGATTTTGATTTCGATTTCGATTTTTTTTTTTTTTTTTTTTTTTTTTTTTTTTTTTAAGAAAATTCAATTAAAATGAGAAATTTATAAATACATAATCATTTTAATATAATTGCCCAAAATTAATTGTAGTTAATGGACGAGATCAAAATCATCTGACCTGATATAGAAGAAGAAGGGTACATATACATATATATAAATAATAAATACTAAAGATAAAATCTAGTAATACTGGTAGTAAAAAAAAAAAAAAAACAAAAAAATATTAAGAAAATATGAAAATGAAAATTTACGGAAATGAGAATCAAGAGCTCTCCTCGGGAGTGAGAAATAAATTAAAAGGAAATGATTGATTTTTTTCTAAAATGTACTAAACGAAAAAACAAAAAAAAAAAAAAATTCTAATCTTAATATTTTAGTTGATAATGAAAAAAAATGCCACAACATTAGAAACTTAATAATACATATTATTTTTTCTTTCTTTTAAAAAAATCATAATTAATTTTAAAAATAGCTTTTAATTATAATATAATTGATCGAAAGAATTATTTGTGAGAAAAAAAAAAAAAGAAGAAGAAGAACTTTCATCATACACTTTGCACTTCCATTTAATGTTTATCACTTAGTAAATGAAAAAAAGAAATATAATCAATATGAATCAATGAATTTACAAACCCAAATATTAAGCTGATATGTAAACGAAATTATCACGAAGAAACCACACACAGTTACAAACAATGCCATGTATGCATAGATTTGCAATAAAACACCTCCTTTTGCTTATGAATATTGAAAAATAGCGGGATTATTCATATAACGTTGCGTCTGCAATTGAGTCGTCGTTCTGAAATATCGTTTACGTTTCGAGACAATCGAGGTTTCAGAAAACAAAGTGCATAAAATTAGGTTAGGTCAAGGCGCTCTCGCGACCGATCGCAGATATAGCGGAAGAGGGACTAAAATTTGCAAGTAATCTAATAAGCAATATTTTATTTGAAAAACACTTTTGCTTAGACATTCACCTTATCAAAGAATTTCTTACTTTACATGCGGATTTGGGATTATCGGTTGCGATGATAGAGTTTTACAGAGATAGTGCCATCTATCTATTTAAAATTATTGATAATATATATATATATGATGAAGCAAAGTTACTTATCCCTCGTGGATTATGTAGACATTTTAAAGTCATCATATTTTGAAATGGTTTTTCACTTCCCCCAAAATTTCATAGCGGTATTATTCGTTCGCGTATGATATCAAATAAAATCTCACTTTTCCATGTTAGTCCAGTTTTTTTCACAGCTATTGCACATCAATCAGCGTACAGTGGGTTTGGTAGGCAGTTGAAAAATATTTCATATAAAAGTTTCATGAGCATTAAGTAACAATGTTTGCACGTTGATCCATCTGGGTAATAATTGCTGAAATGTCGACTCGAATAACTCAGGTAGATTTTTTACGAAAATACCGCTATAACGATCCAGCTATTCTGTGTAGAATTTCTTTATCAGCAAAAAACCACAAATTTTTCAAAAATTTTTTCCTTATTTTCTTGTAATATTTTTCCAATTTTTTTAAATATTTTTTTTATTTATTTTACAATTTTTTCAATATAAGAAACTTTGTCATGCGCTTGTAAAATGTTTTCTAGCTAAAAACCGTTATCTGGCTTTTTCTTTTACATCTTTTTTTTTTACACTTCGATGTTGCGGACATAAATAAATAAACACAAAACTCATATTAATGAAAACTATATCTTACCATATAAGACTTTGATCATATTTTCTACAAGATCCACTCTTTTGTCCCTCTGATGCTAATCTCTTTCTGATGCTAACTTTACCACATGGAAAATTAAGGTGCTCAGCAGACTCATATCAATCAAGAATCACATTTGCAAGTGCAACATTGGATATACGTTTTGAGATTTTCAATATCCATATGATAGCTTTCGTGGTCCATCTCAAGCACGTAACTAATTGCCTTTGTTAAAGCTCTACTGCCTTCTCTTTCCAAGTCAACAAAATAATCAAAGGTATACTACACTATTACATTGGTTAGAATACATCGCACATATAACTCATTCAAAAATAGGTAGGCTCAACCTTAACACTGGTGGTGCGAAGCGCATGAAGTTTACGCGCCTAACACCTGAAAGATTTGAGGGTAGATTTCTGATTATAGCAATCAATTCAGAATTATTTTCTAACCGGAGCCGATAGCCTATGTTGCTAGTGATCAATGTCTTTTTTTTAGTCTAAGAATTCAATTCATTAGTCTAAAATTAAAATAATAATAATAATAATAATATTTTTTAACCGAAGTTAACTTTATCTGTTCGTCTGTGCGGGTGCTGTCTGATAACTGTCTATATATTTTAGTATTCCGCTTATAGATCGCAATATTCAAGGGACGACACTTTGATACATTGATATACTTTGACCTAAGAAGAAGCAACATTTGTGACCACTTCCAATATGTATAGTACTGCAATATGAATAACTAACCCGTAATCAAGAGAGATAGGTAGACGTCATCAAATTGTCAATAAATCAACGACAATCGTCATGTAAACATCAGAGATTGTCACCTGGTCAAGTATAGACAGGAGTGCAATTCGTATTAAAAGTTCAAATGCTTTGCGGGTATATTGGTCTAATTCTTAACACGCCTAACACATACTAAACTGAAGTTAGCATGCGTCGGTCCTTCCGCGTGAAAGCTGATGTATTTGAAAACCTTTACAAAAAAGTTAGTGGCTGCTAAGTAGGACCACCTATTCAAGTTTTTTCAAACACATGCAAAGCTCTCGGTCATTGTAAATCCAGAGACCTTATGCCGCATGTCACCAGACGGACGTAGTATTTGAATTTCTTATGCTTATTATGCCTAGATAAAATCAGATTTTTGTTTGTCTGAGTTTTCATCGGTCTCGGCAATCGTACCCGAACTCTTCCATATATTAATCCGTTGACGTAAGTGACATTGATAGACTTGCACTCCGTATGCACACGTCGTCTATAGAAGTCCTATATTTTTATTACTGCAAAGCAAAAAAAAAAAAAAGATGTGTGTTCTTGGAAGCACTTACTGATTTTAAAATAAGTTAAATAATTGAAAGGTGGAATTTATATTAACTTTGTTCATTTCCTATTGAAAAAGCAAAAAGTGTTTCATTTTTATCCAGTTGTTGAAACTTGACGATTTTGATTTTTTTGGCACTTCCTTTATCAATATTCTTGCATGATTTTTTTCCTTTCTGCGTACATAATGACAACGTTCTATGTATACCCATGGTAATGCGATAATACGACGATTTTTCAAAAGCGACGCAACAATACTATTCAGATCGTTGAGTAAACGTTTGCTCCCAAAATGCCATAAACAGAAAATGAGATGAAGAGAAAATCCTATATTTGCTAAAATAATAACTCCTGATTACTATAAATAATAATATTTTGCCGTTTTCTTAAGTTCTCTTAAGTTAAATTGTAACCTCTACGACGCTTGGCTTGTCGTTTGCTTACATAATTTAAAATTTAATCTTAAGTTGTTTATATATACATAGAAATATCATAGAGATAATAATTTACCTAGAAAACAAGTTTAAAGATATCAATAATAAAAAAACAACATTAATTAAGAACAAAAAACAAAAAAAAACGTACTTTCATTTTTCGAAATTTCCAATTTTTTTCACTTCGTTTTTCAAGTAGGCAATTTTTCGCATCATACGTTTTCGTTTTACCGACAAACTTGATATCGGGTTCGATCCTGGTGTGCGATTTTGTTACCCTTTAACCGAAAATGTTTCTTTTCTTTTTTTTACACAACTACATGTACAGACACCGCAAGAATCTTGGATGTGAAATAGTCCAGGTGGTAGAAGAGTGTAGTCAAGAATTATCAGTCGATCTACGGTAATGTAGAAAGTTTTTTAACCCGAGACTAAGCTTTTAAAACTTTCCAGTGTATTACATTTCTCCAGACAAGACTCAAAGTTCGAATACAACTAAAAGTTTACATCCCGTCCAAAATTATGGAAGGCCTTAATTAAAACATGCTTAGCAATATAAAAATCGAACTTTTCTTTCGGGAAACGAAAGGAGCAGGATGTTTAATCAGTTTGCTGCCACGATCTCTTTCAAAAATGTGCCCTATTATGTCAGATCCATTCCATTCCATTTTCATTCTCTTTATCTAATATGAAGGGATTTAAGCAAACAATATCTAAAAGGCAAGATTTTAAGTCTTTACGGGAAACACAGATTTTTCATAACTACCATTAAATGCCATAATTTGCTTTATTGGACGTATACGTAATGAGTGCTAAGCAGGATTATAGTACTTATTATCTTGGCGTGCCACATACAAAACGATACTCACAGTACGCTACACTAGAGATTTGTTTTAATTCGTCGTGGCATCTAAATATTACATTGTGTCTCTTTCATTCCAATTGCAATCTAAATAGTAAGTCGTGGCTACAGTTTAGGCACGATGGGTATACATGTCGTAAGACTCTTCACACAATAGTACCACTTCTTCGCTAGTAATGTACTTGTTAGTGAGGGCCAACTAATTAATGATAAGAACCCTCCATACTCTTAAAATCTTTGAAATTAAGCTTAATCTGATCAAATTTGGTCCGACATTAACCCCTTACTGAGCGTTATATGGGACGACTGAATTGTTGTCCACCTATCCTTGTCACTCATTTTAAAACTTTAAATTTATAGACGGTTTATTAAAAAAATATTTTAATGCTACTTTCGGACTATAAGACGCACTCAAAAATGTAGTTCATTTTTCTATGTAATGTCCTATATTGTTCATGATTTTAATAACGGTATGAAAATCAATGATTTCGATTCTGACTCTAATAAACCAAAAGCCATGAGATTTATTCAATGCAGTATACAAAGGTCTAAATAGAATCATGTTTTTATATTGTTTAAATACATATTGAACAATCCCATCTTTGATCTCTGTATCGAAAGCTTTCAATAAAATGCCATCCCTGATTTCTCATTATTGCACTTACGGTAAGTTGTTTACGAAAGTGTGTAATCAATGAAAACAAAAAACATCATCGATTTACTACACTACGCTGCTAGCAGCAAATCTCAATAACGAATTCATAGTACAAAGGAACAAAGTGGAATATGAATTTTTGCAAATGTAAATAAAGATATTTTGTTTTTCTCACTAGGAAAAAGAATGCAATGTAAGAGAAAAAGAGATTGTCATCCAGATAGGTGGATATAAATATTTAAAGAATTGTTTATTCTTTTGCCAAAATTAAAATTGAAACAGAACTTCTTTTTAACACTATTTCAATTTCGCTTTGTTTTTTGTCTGTTGCGAGAACATTGCGTTAAAATTTGTTGCTCTCCTTGCGTATTCTCTAAAAGTTGCATTGAAATTAAAAATTCATAGACTGGTTGGGAGAGAAGTTAAAATGCAAATTAATTAAATGTTGCAATAAAATATATATAATAACATCTATGTTGTAAAAGTGTATTGCAAAATAACAGTGATTCATAACATTGGATTGGCAGTGTAAGTGGTGCAATATTTCTAAGGGCAAAAAGTTATGGAATCAACAGCAAAAGAGGAACAAGTCGTAATAAATTATTGGTCACCAGATTATGGGAACTTACCTGTAGAGGTAGAAGATGAAATGTTTAAAAAACAAAAATTTTTATCACATATATAAATGTTTTAATACATCAACTTTGTTAGATCATAGAGCATATATTCGGTTATCTTCACCATTCAGATCGTCAAGCTGCTGGAGCTACTTGCAGTAATTGGCGCGATGCCTTGTTTATCGGAGAATTTAAGCGCAGCAATCAAGTGCATTTTGCCAAGGTGTGCCTTTCAGATCGCTTACCACCAGCGAAATATTTGCTTAAATGCCAGAGACTATATCGCAACTACTATTTGGACGAAGTAACATTTGGTCAAATTCAAGAGTTAACGGCTTTTATTGGCCAATCAGCGGTTGAAATAACGTTTGATAATGTCGAAATCGGTGATAAACAATTTTACGCCTTTATGCGGCTATTAACAAATTTAGAATCTTTAACTATCACACGCTGCTCATCGCTATTTATGTCCGGTGCTTTTTTGGATGGTGTTGATGATTTGGGAAATTCGATTGCATCAATACGACGTTTGTCATTGCAACAAAATCAATATTTATCGGATGCCATATTTTTACGCCTTACGTCGTTGATCAAATCTTTAGAATCATTGAATATGTCCGGATGTCATATAGCGTATCATAATGCTATACAGCGACGCTTTTATCCCAACGAAAATACCCATGCCAACGAGTCGATATTAACCTTTAAATTTATCACAAAAATTATATTAAATCATCGAAAGCATTTTAGAGAATTAGACCTGAGTCATACTATGATTAGTGGGCCGGCTTTAGAATCTTTAGGATCTCGCGAAAATATTGAAGGAGTAAAATTGCATAGATTAAAGTTAACCTCATGTCGCCAATTAAATACCGCAAGTATGATGGCATTTATTCAAACACAGCCATCTTTAGTAGTTTTGGACTTGGCCGACACATTATGCATGAATAATGACTGCTTAGCGGCTGTAGTGGAGAATATACCAAAGCTGACTAGTTTAAATATAGCTGGATGCACGGCGCTTAACAACGAAGGAGCTGCACTTTTGGGGAATTTAAAATGTTTAAAATATTTGAATATATCTCGTTGTGACGGCATAACCACAGAAGGCCTTAAACAGGGCATAGCACGGGCTCTAAATACCCATTTACGCTGTTTACAAATGTCTCATCTTAAAATATGCGAAGAGGGTATAAAATGCATAGCTTTTAATTGCCCAGAACTACGTGTTTTGAATGTGGGTCACTGTGTGAATGGCGTTACCGATGCTTCCGTCCAGTATATTGTGCAACATCTCAACTGGCTACGCGATCTTTCGCTAGAAAATTGCTTTTGGGTTAGTGATGCAGCATTAACTGGAATCAATCTTGCGAAGCTAGACTTAAAAGCTTCTCATACAAGATCTCTCGACAATTTCAATCCATTAATAACGAATTCATTACACGAACGTGACACCTTAAATACATCCTTACAATCGATGAAGATTTCACTACGCAGCAAAGCTGAAGAAGATATAGTACGAGATGCAAATCGTAAACGTGCTTTGTTTGCAGCTTACGAGCTGAATTCAGTTAACAATGTTGACGGTTTTTGCATACAGCAACTTAAAGGATTATGTTCGCTTAACATAAAGGGATGCAATAAAATTACAGACGTTACCCTCATTTATGGACTTAAATGCAATGAACTGAAACGTTTATTTTTATCTAGCTGCCAACAGATCACATCAGTAGGAATGGAATCGTTAGTTGTGAATTGTCCAGCGATAGAAGAGTTAGACTTATCCGAGTGCTATAATATTAATGATAAAACCATTCAACTAATCACTGCCAAATTGAGCCGTCTACGTGCTTTACACATAAGCGGATGTTCTCAGCTAACAGATCACAGTCTTGATGCGATATTAGTTAATTGTAAATCTTTAAATGTGAGTGGCATAGAGATTTCATAAATAATTGGAAAAATTTAATTTCCTTTTATTTCAGACACTTTCTGTACACCGATGTCGTCGTATTTACGCCGATATCGAGGATCGTTTGAGCGAGCTGTCCACTTTACGCAATTTAAACATGGACAACGCTAATAGCATGGAGAATCCTGAGCTGTTCCGTTTAAAAAGACGCCTTGATTACTGATATTTCGCCGCAATTTTTGTTGTTTTTATTCTCTACTATTTTCAATTGTACAATTTTCGCTAATTGGCCAGAAACCAAAAAAAAAAAAAAAAAAAAAAAAATTAAATAATAATATCGTAGCTTTAGTTAAAAAATTGTTACTTCATGTTATTCGTCGTCTTTACGAATCATCATCGATATGAACAAGTCAAAAGATTTGTTTAGAATTATTAGAAATAATTGTTGTTGATATTTATCCTATACACATACACGCACACATCCATAAGGAAACAAAGATACAAGATGTATGTATGTATGTATGTATGTATACACATGCATGACGTTGACAGTTTTTCAAAATGTCCAAATTATAAACCAATTAACTCTTACCGAATTGATTATTTATTAATCTAAAAAAAATCTGTGATTTTATTCTGAAAAATATAAAATTAATATGAAAATATGTACGCTTTTTTATTGTTACCGTTGTTACTTAAGTGTTAAGTATTATTATTCATTACGTATACATATATATTCTACAAGTAATTGTTCATTTTAAATTTCAATAAAATTTGTGATGATTACCGAGATAATATGCATATGAGAACTATTTGAAAAATTCATTTCCCGTAAATGTCTCATGACTGCGTGAATAAACAAGAAAAGATTTTTATGGAAAATTCTCTCTATTCGTCATCTAGTTTTTAGTGGATAATGTATCTAGCAAATGGCTATCAAAAAGATGTTGGATTTAAGAACTAACTGACACTAAGTATTAAGCGTCATTCGAGTTCCATATCGCAAAAAGAGGTGATATTGTAAAGATTCCAATAACTAAGGGCTTATGGGTAAGACAACAAACAGTGGTTCAATTTGATAAAGACATGTCAAACGCTGAGCCTTTTTATATGTAGTCAATTTTTGCTAGGATAATAGAAAGTTAGCTTATATGGAGTCCAAAAATAACACAAGCGAATCAATTGATTATGCTGGGTTTGCTGAGGCAAAGAGTCTGGCAGGATCGCGTCACGTGCATTTTTGAAATTTATCTTAAACCTATTAGAGTGGATTAGGTTCGAATCGCGACCATTTTGAACCCAATTTTACTAAACAAGAAATTCCAAATATTAATTTTCCTTGGCCAAAGCGCGTTTTAGTCCTTAATTCCCAATCTGTAATTTAATTCTATGCAAAGTTATGTTGCTGTATTTCCGAAATGGTTAATCTTCTGTATTCCATGTAGGTTTTCTTGTTCCAATTCCGAAGAACAGTCACGAAGAACGCGCAAGAATTTAAAATTTTGCTCACAGTTACGTATTGGATAATACTACTTCTTTGGGATCCGCTGAGATATAGAAAGTCTCTTAGTGTTCATCGACAAAGCAGTGAGGATGGCAGCATTGTTAAGGTGTCCTTTTAATACTTCTCATAATGTATTTGATACCTCTGACCATGGCAACATATAAGCCGCAAATTACTCTATTCCCAGCTCGGCATAACTGCACAACACAGATGTCAACAATTTAAGTCTACTCCTGCAATTTATGCCAATGTCTTTTTTTTTGATATGACGAATCGCACAAGAGATGAAAGATAAAGAGAATGTCCCTTATACATGTATAAATTCGGCGATGGTTGAGGAGAAAGTACTGATGTGACACACTTACGAATTTATTGTGAACGCTTCAGATGTAATAAAAGTATGATCTTCCATACTATGAATTGAACCTTGAGACATGCGATTGTTGTATTTCAATAACTTACTGCTGTGTGTTAGAATTCTGTGGAATTGATTTCCGGCAACAAAGAAACAAAGTAGATTGCTTTTCTATTATGCTTGACGGCACACATATAAAGTTATATTTTTATGATTTCATTGTAATGTAAAAGGTCGTTGCTATTATTGATATATAAAAATAATAATAAATAAATATTTTAAAAACTGTTACCTTAATTAAAATGAAGCACATTTAATTTTGAATACTTCGTCTATCAAAAAGCACGATGCACTTTAAACGAGACAGTTTTGAAATCGTTAAAATATTTTTCTTAATTTATTAAAGTCATGGTTATTGAAAATGTCGCTGTTATGTGTGTGAAACAATTCACTCTGGAGGTGTTTTATGAGCACTCCAGCCGTGAAAACATTTTGTGAAGCGTTTAGACTCTTTATTTTTGAGCGTTAAAAATAACTTGCGTGGTCTTTCCGGCTGCTTAATACGCATATGTTGGATATAGACCTAGAAATAGCAAATCGTGCAAATAATTTTTTTTAATTTTCTCTAAACCCATCAAGCGCTTACTTGTGCTGACTTGTAAGCCAATTTAATTTCAACTTCACTGCATCGCGAACCCAGCCAAAGGAATACTTGTTCACCATTATCAAGTATCATAATATCATCGTCTGCTAAATCGTCTTGACAGAAGTCTGTACATTTCTCAGCTACTGTAAAGTAACCTTTCTCGTTCGAGCATCTAAATAAACGCGTATAATTCATATAATCGGCATCGGTATCGTATGGTTTTCGGCCACCTAAAGCAACCCAGAAAAAATTCTCAGGCTCTTCACCTTCATTAAGTATCTGTAAGCTAACCCAGGGACTATTAAACATTTCCTCAGCAATTTCTTGAATCAATTTGGCTTCCTCATGGCATGCTTTTGAACCTAACCATACATATACAATACCCGATTGGGATTCCTCCTCAGTCTCGAAAGGTACGTAGAGTATGTAACTGAAACATTTTAAAAAATGTTAAGTTGTATGCAAATTTCTTTAGAAATCGTTAGATATTTTACCAAAAAGCCGAATTCAAGAATGAAGCATCCGCTTGGATTTGAATCAAGCGTGCACACAAGGCACCACCATTTGAACGCAAATGGAAGAATTCCACAGCCGCTTTGCCGTCTGCCGTTTTAGATCGATCTTTGCGTTTACCAGTGTGTATTATAAATTTACGTTTGAAATGAGCTAAAAATTTTAGGTTTTCCTGTTGTTGCGGTATGCGTACCACTTCTAATTCTTCGCCGAACATAGCTTTGAATTTCTTTTGCAAAGTAAACGTAAATGTCAGCCAACCCATGTTACCCGCATTGCGTCCTTGCCAAAAATAAACTACACATTCAATTTCATCTTCGGGTGGCGGCTTATTATCATTTACTTCAACGGCGGCATCTTCGTCATCATCCAAAGGAATGCAGTAGCGACATAAAAACACATAACATTCGCCGGTATAAAAATGCCCTAATTCTTCTTCAGGTAAACGGACAAATTTTTTGCCTTCCAAAACGAAAGCTTCCATAGCCTCTAAATCGTAATTCCAATCTTCCTCTAACTGCTCTGCTTCACTTAGTGGCATGGATTGTTGACGAGGCATAAACAAAGCAGCCAAATCTGCCCGCGTTTCTTGCTGTTTAGCCCATTTATTTAAATCAGCTCCAGTCTTTGCTACGGAAGTAGCAGTGCGTGTAAAATCTACGGCCATCACTTCATCCCAACCGATAAATTTGCATTTGAAGATTTGGGTTTCAGTGCCCTCTTGTAAACGGGTAACCATAGCGTACGGGGGCCGGTCAATCATGGTAAACAGTTCACGTGAAAGCTTAATGGCTGCAGCACGCACTAAACGTGTCGATTTTTGACCAAACCATACGAACAAGTCTGTGTAACAATCCAAAATGTAAACATTCTTGCTGACTAGCAACGTGTTAACCAATTTTTGTTCAGGAATTTCGACTTGAGGCAATTCCAGATAACCCAAACCAAGCTGAACCTGATAAAGACGTGGTATAGCTGGTACGAACTTATCTTCAACATGTTCCTTGATAGACAATTTGGAACCCTCATCAGGATCAACACCTAAATTTTCCCAAAACTCTGAACTTTCATCACCTGCAAGAAATAGTACTTCAAAAACTGTCAACTGACATATTTATCGACGTACCTTGCATTTCCATGATGATTTCGCATTTATTTTTGCGTTCAGTTTTATTAATTTTTTCTGCCATTAAGCGCGTTTTAGAGTTCAAGGTATTCTTTGAACGGCTCCCAATCCATATAAATAATTTTATGCTACAATCCAGCATAAATGAGAAGCGGGGATCTAAAGAATCCTGGCAAGCTGCGACAGGCTCCATGTGCACAGAAGCGCCAGCAGCATGAACGCGATATAAACGTATAGTGTATAGCATATCTTCTACCGTATAAAAACCGGTAGCGGTACGACCGCCTTCAATATAAGTAATTTCCGTATCGAAAAGAGCCAAAAATTCCTCAGACTCGTCATCTGAAAAATAAATAAAAAACATATAAAAAAAAATTAGATTTGAAACTTTAATATTCACTATTACCTCAATTCATAAAAAGGGAAAACTATCTTTTGTTAATTATGAACCTGTCAGTTGGTTGATAAATATTTCTACTAAATATTAGCTTAATAAGGTTAAGATTTGTTTCTTTTACTCATTGCGGATCACTGTCATTAGTTTTGAACTGTTTACTTTCATCAGCAGCTCTCCAGTTATGGGTGACGGAAAGACGGAAATAAATTTGACGATGATCAAAAATCTATACACTTGAAAGGTCCGTTGTTGAAGCATGGTATGCGTTCCCCCCTTTGCTAGTACGTATAGAAAGTAGAGGAGTGTAACTCAGTAAGCTGTCATTTAACACTGTAACTTACTCTGTTCTTCTCTGATCGTTCTACAACGGGCTCCCAAGAAGTTCCGCAAATTCACGGCGTGTATGGCAGCGCACGCACGTTTATCCAAAGTGGCTTCGTTACCAATCCAAAAATAGATTTCCCAATGCAGTTGACCCAAATCATCACAGGTAGTTTTAAGCACTATATAACAGTCACCCTCATAAAATTTACCATGAGCTACTTCTTCAATCTTATTGGGTAGAAAGTTTTCAATTTCCCAAATAGTTAAACCGGAAATTTGGCCATCTTCCTTTTCAAAGAATTTCGAGTAATCTAATTGTGGTTTTTCCAAAGACTCATCCCAACGCTTCGGTTTTAATGATTCCGGACGACCATCATTTAGCTCTGCTGCCCACGCACGATTCGCTTCGGCCTCGTCCTTATCTTTCGCAACATCCTTCATGCCTTTCAATATTTTAGCAGAGTCCTGTGCGGAATCATTGCGTGGTCCTCGACGCAACCGGATCTTACGTGCTGTAGAATCCTTCGGAGTAGAAGTAGCGGTGACACTTGGAGGGACAGCAGCTCCAGCCAGTCTTAATTGCGTTTGTAAAGAAAAATCTATATTGTAGAATTCAACACCTGCACCTTTAGAAACCTCGGTAGGTTTCGGCGGCATCATCAAATCTGGATTATTCCGTAAATCCAATTGATCCAAGCTATCTAATAAATGTATTGCATCCGGCAGTGTAATCAAACGATTTGAACTCAGATTTAACTTTTTCAATGATCCACACCGGCATAAGCTTTCCGGTATCATTTCCAACTTATTGTTGGAGGCTGAGAAAACTTCTAAAGCACCTAGTTTCCCAATACCCGAGGGTATGCCATCAAAATCTAAGCAGTTATCATTTAAATACAATATCCTTAATTGTAATAACTTGCAGATAGCGGCAGGTAAAACAGCTATTTCATTACGCGAGAGGTTTAAAACTTCCAAATGTTGCCAAAACTCAACACTAGCACTTAATTCAGTGATAGTGTTATCACTAAGATTTAATCGCTTTAAATTGCGCAAATTGTAAACGCAGTCTGGTACTTTTGGTAAACTATTCTGCGATAAATCCAATTCAGACAAGTTGGACAAGCTATCTAAGGTAGTCGGAAAATTATGAAGAGTACGTTGAGTGTTGCGCATATTCAAGACCTCAAGATTTTGCAAAGATGGCAATTGACGCAATTGAAACAATTCCAAAGGATTATCTGCCAATATTAAGGTTTGTAAATTCGCTAAACGTCGAGTTTGTGGCGGCAAAGTTTCCAATTTGTTGTGCGACAAATCCAAAAACAATAGATCATTTAAATGAATGAATAAGGCAGTAGCTATTGTCTCTATTTGATTGTGACTTAAATTCAAAACTAGCAAACTTTTAGCTCTTTCTAAACCTTCCGGTACCTCTTTCAACTTGTTATGCGATAAATCCAGAGTAGTCAACTCATCCAAATGAAAAAGTTCTGGCGGGACACCACTACTTTTAATGTTATTTCTACGCAAATTAAGCGAACGCAAACTGGTTAATTCGGTTAACTCGCCAAACAATTTTTCCAGCTCATTGTCCTTCAATGAGAGTTGTTCCAGCTTCAAGAGGTTACCCATTTCTTCGGGTATTTCTTTTAATTGAGTCTTATCCAAATTCAGCCATTGTACGCGTGTCATCAAACGTACGGCACTGGGAAATTTATTATTCTACAAGAAAAAATCAATTAAATAAAATCGTTACCTTTTTCTTTTTTTTTTTTTTGGACTAAGCCAATAAGATTTATGGCTTATATGCCCAGATAATGTGTTGTGGACAATATTAAGACACAACCTAAAAGAAAATAATGTGAAAGGCCGCAATTGTTTGTAAACAAATTCAGGGGGGTTTCGCGCCTTCCCCCATTGGATGTAAACCACTAACGATGACAAGAGCATTTTTGACAATTCACTCATTCGCACATTCATTTGCAAAAAGTTCAGCTGAATTTTCTTTCGTTTCATTTTCATTCAAATTTGCAATCTTCTCACTGACTTTTTGCATTTCTTTGAACAAACCGCTTGAAATGTTAGAATTTTGTATATTTTTGCAAGAAATTTACTTACACTAAAATCATTTTTAGTAAAATCGACACCACGAACAAACGGCAATACACCCGAATTAGCCATTTTTTTTAGTGTTACCAGAACTTAATATTTATCACACATAAGCACATAAAATAGAGAATAAATTAAATGCTAATCAATCATTCTAATTTTATATCCCAAATACAATTAATTTTCATTATTAGAATATAATTATATAAGCAAAACTACTGATGTGTGATAATATGTACATTTTTTAAAATATTGATTTAATGAAATTTTATATGAAAACTTTGCAACTCTATTTCCTCTGACAGTGTTGGTAAAATGAAAATTTCATATAATTGTATATGTTTGCAAAGAGTTATGCGAACAGCACAATTTTCTTAATTAATTTTTATACTTAATTCTTCATTTGCATTATTAATAGAGCAAGATTACATATTTTGGAGCTTATTTCCGTGCAGGTATTATCATAAATTGGATTTTTTATTTTTAATTTACTATTTATTTATGTAAATTTTTAATTATCAAAAACATATGAAGCTAGTTTAAATTTTCATTGATATATTGGCAATTCGTTAAAAATAGTAATCGCACGTATGGTATGTAACACGATAAAATTGGTGAAATCTCAAATTCAATTTTTCCAATTATTGAAAATCTTTAACTAACAAATTTTGTACAATTTTATTTGCTTTATTAAAAAAAAAGAAAAGGTATCAATTAAATTCTAACGACGTATTAGTCTCACTACTACCACTACTACTGCTGATGATGTCATTCATATGAATTTTGTAATGCCCGACATTTTAATTTAGATACAAATAACTTCGATTATCTCATTTGGTACTTTTATTGGCTTTGAAGTGAAGTACAAAAAATTAGGAAAACAACTTTGTATACCACGTGGAAATTGAAATACGTATTATCGAAATAATGCGAATCGAGGCCTACAAGTATTGTTTTAAATTTAACAGACTTCTGTTTATTTGAGTTCACCTAACGCAAAAAGTACAAGTGCCTCTCACATATCATGCTTGGTTATTGTTTGCGATGACTATCCATTTTCCATGATTATACAAATACAAAATGTTGAAGTAAGAATTTTTAAAACTTAAATATATGCATAAAGTTTCAAAGTTTACTGCGAATAGAGCAGTAAACATATCAAGTCATCTTTATGGCATGCAGACAATAATTTTTATAACTCACAGCTACTTATGGCACATGATTTAGAATCCTTTTCTTCCTTTTGGCAATTTTGTTGAACTTAGAGCACGTCGCTCAATGTTTTTTAACCCCTCCAACCTGAAGGTTTGGAGAGTGGTATACAATAGCGAATGGACGGTTTTGTCAGACTATAATGCTTTATTTTTTATTTTATTTGATTTTATTATAATTTGGTAAGTCTAACTGTATATATGTATGATAGAAACAAATAATAAATATTTTCAACGATACAATATTAATTGCAGAATTATTTCCACGGAATTAATTCCATATTAAAAATAACAACAGTTCGAATGGCCTGAAAAGGTAATTGGAGATAATGTAATTTGATATAAAAAGAAAAACATTTTTTATTGCAAATGTGGAAAGATATAGTTAGTGCTTGCAGCCTAGTGGGTATGCGTCCAATCGATAAGTGTTATGACTTCACGGTCTGAGTAGTCACTATACATACCTATGACTAAATATGGTCGACCTCCTTCATATTTGAACAAGCGAACACGACTTAAAAGTATTGCTCAGTTCTTGTCTACTTGCCGATCGTATATAGCATCTTACTTCTCATATAGTCTATATATATTCAATCGTAGTAGCATAATAACTTATGTTCGTACATTTGTCTTTGTTCATACACGATTTTTCAGTAATTATGAAGAAAACTTCAGATTGGTTTTCAAGAGTAAACCTAGAAAGAAGCTTGTTCCCTAAATAAAAGTTGTGAAGTTGCGATCCCGTTTTCTCTTTCGAACAGACCAACAAAGATATCTTAACCTTTCGCATTATTTACTATTACGCTATGTATATCCATAATTAACATATTAATTATAATCTTACGTTCACTATTTTTTTATTTATTTTTTTTTTGGGTTGTTGAGTGAAGATGGGATTTACGTTCACTAAGAGTGAGATAAAAATGACCTTAAATGCTTCACTTGTGTTGTGCAGTACGTTATCAAACAAAGATATTTCGTGAAAATGCATTGTTATAGAGAAACCTGTTTGCTTATTCGAGGTAGCAGCTGGTTTGCGTGACATGCATGAACGCCATTACATTGATTGTATTTTGGGAGACAAAAGCATGACGAAATTTAAAGAAGTATTTTAGTGAATTTTTGGTAAATGAAAGAAATTATCGATATTTATTTAGTAACTACTTAATAAACAGGTATGAAGAGAATTAAATATTTGTTTTAAATAACAGTTGCGTTGGTAGGCATGATTTTGCATCTTTAGAATTGCAATGTTGGCAAGACATGTGGTCGGTCGGTCATAGTTTTTTATATGTTTTTTTCTTTTGTCTTCTTAACTTGAGTATTTTACAACTGCGATTAATTAAACAAAGAAAATGTTTAAATTACCATTCGTAGTAAATAGAAAGGCGCTAAGAGGATTCGATCGGAGCGGCGGCTATGGACGCGGCACGGTGTTATTTGTGTGACCATCAGTTTGTTGAAGGCGAGGAACCTTGGTTAATGTTCGAACAACGCCTGCGCGAAGACGGCCAACCTGACAGCACATTAGCCGAATTATTGGGTGAAATATTGGAACAACAGCCTGATGAACAAGATGGCCACTCTCCGGTATTCACATTTAAAATTTGATCTAAATTTAAAATAATACTCAATATAATTAATTTAACATTTGCCTAGTTTTTGTGTGATTCCTGCAATGCTGACGTTATGGAATATAATAGTTTGCTAACACGTTTTAAACATGTACGTGAACGCATCTTGACTTATTACAAAGAGAATGCTACTATAAATAACTTAGTGATGCACGACGATATCAACAAAGTAATGAAAATTGAAATGGATAGCCAAGACCAAGATAATTTAGAATTTGTAGCGGAAAATGGGGCAGCTTTAGAAGCTGATCTGGTAGAGGAGGTACCAGAAAATGACCCTGACATTGGTAGTCATAGCTTCGATTTTACTGCATTTAATGAGCAAGTCGGTGAGAATTCTTTTCCTAGCGGAGGTTTGGATTTATCGGACAGTCTTGTTAATCTGGCAGTGTCCGGCACTTCGGTCGATGTTCAAGATGAACCTATAGATGACAAAGGTATACATATCAATCTAAGCAATTCGCTTCATACTATTTTGAAATTTGTGCCTACTACTTTTCCAGATATTATAATATATGAGCTATACGACAAGGTAATACAAGCTAATGATATGAAACCAACGACTGGCGATGACCAAAATCAAGATTTGCAAAGCTATAGCAGTACTGAAGGTACATTATACTCAAATCACTATTATAACTTCAGTAGTTCATTACAAAATGAAACGAATATATCTTTCATTTTCAGATAGCAATTTTGTATTTATAAATCCTAGTAATGCCAACGAATTGGATATTGAGGGTGATGGCAACGATAATGCATTAGAGAAGACGTCAGTTACAGTATATTCCGAACCAACGCCAGTGTGTAAAGCGCAGGGTAAAGCTTTTGTTTGCTTATTGTGTGATCCGTCCCCAAGTCTCGCTGCCGACGTCCTTGGTGAACATTTGTTAAATTTTCATGAAATCTTACACTATATGTGCGAAGTGTGTAATCAAGGCTATGCTGGCCGGCAAGAGCTTAAAGACCATACGGATATTAAGCATTCCGCTATCAACTCTAAGCCGAAACAATATTATTGCGGGGTATGTTCGCGATCATTTACTAGCCACCTGCTGTTACGATTACATAAGCGTACGCACACACATCATGGAGGTGGCGCAAAAAGCCATGAATGTAAAGTATGTTGCAAGAAATATAATACCAAAGGTATGCTGGATGAACATATGAATACTCACACTGGATTAAGACCTTACAAATGTAGCGAATGTTCGAAAGATTTCGCATCTAAGTATACTTTGCAGTCACATATGAAAATTCACACCGAACGCAATAGACCTTATCAATGCGATCAGTGCGAAAAAGCTTTCTTAAATCAGCAAAATCTCAATCAACATAAAAAATTACACGTGCCTTTTAAAGCTTTCAAATGCGAAGTGTGCTCGAAGTCTTTTATTACTCAGCACAGTCTCAATGTTCACCTAATAGTCCATTCGGGCCAAAAGCCGTTTTTATGCCGAATTTGTGGTAAAGCATTCGCTAGGAGACCCGAAATCAAGGATCATGAACGTACGCATACCGGCGAGCGACCATTTCAATGCGATTTGTGCCCAATGGCTTTTGCTCAACGGTCCAACTTAAATACGCATAAAAAAAATACCCATTTTAATGAGAAACAACACAAATGCAATCAGTGTGAGCGCTCGTTCAAGCGCAGACGTCTTTTATATTATCATGTCTTGGCAATACACACGGGCGAGAGACCACTTAAGTGCAATATATGCGGCGCTGGTTTTGTTTATCCCGAGCATTATAAGAAACATATGCTCATACACAGCGGTGCGAAACCTTTTGCTTGTGAAGTCTGTGGTAAACAATTTAATAGTCGCGATAATCGCAATGCCCATCGTTTCGTTCATAGCGACAAAAAGCCTTATGAGTGTATGGAATGCGGAGCTGGTTTTATGCGTAAACCTTTACTGCTGGCTCACATGAAGCAAACCAAACATGTGAGCGATACCATCATTGTTAACCAACCACAATTTACCAATCTGCCGTCATTGGTCAGGGAGATCGTCACAGAGCCGTCTGCAGTGGTAGAAGATGGCTCCGGTTTGTTAGAAAATTGCGACGATACCTTGGTTCAAATCGATGGCAATGAAGCGATTAGTGAAAAATATTTAAAATTTGCAGATCTCGATAGCGATGGTAGTCAAACATTGGCTTGGGTCGATATCGGTGGCAATGACGATAGTATTAATAATAAGCAGTAATATAATTATAAGATTAAAGGGAAAGACTAATTTTTCTTTTTTTGTACGTTGAGATTAAGCTAAGGGACTAAGCGAATGAGAAGTTTAGCTTGTATGTCCGGGCTAAACAAATTCATTTTATTCTAGACAAGTAAGTTTAAGGATATCAATAAGTTTATTAATACATATATAATATAGTACAGTCGATAACAAATTACAAACTCATGTATATGTTTATAAGGAGGGCGATTAGTATTGGTACGGTAATACATAAGTATCCAATAAAAGTAAGAGTTACAGTTTTAAATAAATTTTAAAAGTATAATTCGCAATTAAATGGATATTTAAAAATCTGATATCGAAATTCGTTTTAAGAGTATGGATCGATTCTCAGTTATTCCAATGGCCCACTATAAAGTCTTTAGCCGCCTCCGCCGCCACCGCCGCCTGACAATTCATCTTCATATTGTTTACGGAAGCAATCACCGACCGGGAAGAAGTCCCAACTGCGCTGTTGATACATATTCCATACGTAAGTCTCTTGACCAGTGTATTCCGTATCTGGTTTATTAATCAAATGCATTAGGAAGAACATATAGTTGGCGAGATTGTGCTCCTTTTGAACATGCGTATCAAAGCCATGCGGTACTATATCGAAGAAGTCTTTACCCATGCCACAAATAAAGCAATTTGATTCCATATTTTCCTGAACCGATTGCAATTGGTCACGGAGCTCACCAAAAGCGTCAATAATCAAACCTTGGATAATAGCCAACAATATAACAATAACAAAGAAGAAGAACGTTATGTCGAATATAATACGATACACTTCGTAATCGTCTCCATCTGGATCACCAATTTCATCACCAATACCGCCGCCAGCTCTTACGCCTTTATATAAGTGGAATACAAAACAGGTGAACATGTCATGGCACTTCTTATCAACTTCGTCATCCTCCTCTTGAATATAGAACTTGCGGAAATAATTGAAGGCAATCACAGTGTATATGTACACGACAATAGTAAGCAGCATGACTGTTAATACCAATTGTTTACCGTTATGTGTTACCGATTGTAAAATGGTACGCAAAGTTTTATAGCTTACGGCCACATCTAGTAAATGAGCAGCAAAGAAAAAATTATTGAAGTTTCCCATTACTGAGAAGGAGAAATACCACAATGAGTAAAGAAAAGCGTTGTCTGTAAATGTAACTCCTGCCTTCCATATCTGATATCGCCAATCAATGTTCATAAAATATTTAATTAAACCGCCACTTTCGGTCTCCTGAGCCACAAAAGCACTTTTTTCCATGCCCAATAAATTTGAAATTGAATCAAAGTCGTAAGTTTCACTGTATTTTTGGCGGACTTTTTTCTTGACGAATTTATCCCAATAGCTATCCGGGAATGATTTAGCTGATATAACCAATTTGTCCCAGTGGGATTTCACGTCGCCATCTTCGGGTTGTTCGGCAATAAAAAGACCATCAAATTCAAGACGACGAGCGATTTCCTTTTCCCGCTTGAATATGGCTAAAGGCACCTTTAGATGATAATAGGCGATTAGCATGCATAACGAAATCAGACTATGTAAAATGGCTGCTACACGTATCACATGTTCCATAAAGAAATAGTCTTCGTTTACATGCACTAATTCCGGAATATCTTCCTCGTCCTCCCCTCCTTCACCTGAACCTTCACCTGAACCTAAACCCGAACCGGCCAAGCCAACACCAGAACCTGAACCTAATATCAATTCATCTTCCCCAGAAGCTTCTTCATCTTCCGCAAACGATGTTACTTTATAGAACAATAGCATAAAATTGATACTGAAAGCCAGCACAAGAGCCACCAATTTTAGATTGTAAAAATTACGTGCCAAAAAGCTTACTGCTCGACGACCATATTGCGAAAAGTCTATTTGATGAACAGCTGGAGTTTCTTGGGTTTCCGTAGAAGCTTTTTTAGCTTCAGCTTCAATAGAGGCCATTGCTGCTTCTTGGGCTTTCTGCGCTTCTTGACGTTCTTGCGCGGCTTTCTTGGCTGCTTCTCCTCCCAACAAATCCACAATTGACACAGGTTCTGCATGGTGAGCCTCACCTTCGACAGCTTGGCCTTCAGCTGAAGCTGCTGCATCCTCAGGACTAGATTCTGCAGTCTCTTCACCCGAGCTGGCAGTACCACTAGCCGATGATTCATGCACTGTAACCTTGTATTGACCATTTTCTTCTTTATTTATGTCCAGCCCAAAAGCCTGCACTGTGCCTGGCGGTTCTTCCGTGGGTAGCGGAGGTAAGGCTTTCCCAAATGTTTCTTCTTCGACAGGCGGCGCTTCCACTTCTTCCGGAGCAGGTCCACGCATCAAATTCATTAGTATACCAAATATATAGCGAACAACAGCAAAGTTGGCGTAGCCCATGTAGTAGAATATATAAAAAATAATCTTAAAGAAACCAATAATCAATTCGGGTACCGATTTTGTTTGCATCACACCAATTTGGTGCTTGATATTCGCCGGACTTAGCATGTACAGGCCAAACTTTAAACCATCTTTCACGGCATTGATAGTTCGTCGTATCGGGTCTCGAGCTGCTCGTTCTTCCTCCTCTTCACTCATGTAAGAACTGTAGGAGGTATCTCGTTTAACGTTGCCACCGCCATCGTCTGTAGCCATTAGCCCAGAAGCATGAGTCATTTCAAAAATAGCATCCTCACAGAAATTAATAAACGCCTCAAGTTTTTCCTTGTCGCCACCTTCGGTTACAATAGAGTAGAAGAAGGCGTGTTTCGACTCCTTAATTTGGGGTTTTTCCCACTGCTCAATATTTGAATCCTTGATCTCAAAGTAAACACGTTCGATGCGCTTGGAACTGCCCAAAATCTCAATACGTCCCAGGAATGGTTCAAAGTAGTTCAAAACCGAACCGGCAGTTTCCAAGAAACGGGCTAAGCGTGGTTCATTAGGCATATGTTCACTTAAATTGGTCAGTAAAACGGCCAAATTAAAACCAATTTCTGTAGAGGGCTCATGGAATCGATCAACAAAGGCGGCGTAATCTATTTTTCCTTCGTGATTGCGTTCACAACAAGCCAAAAGGAAATCCATTTCCTCCCTAGAATTTTTGAGAAGAACGTAAGCAAGCGAAATAAACGGAATAGTGAAGTACTCACGGTGTGTAATTTTTCGATTGTTCCATTTTGTCCCTAAAATCTTTGGGTGTAACCCAACCTTCGTTTTTCATATCAATTTCTTGGAAGCTAGCCGATTCAATAAGATCCTTTAGCTTTAAGAACATGTCGAAATATTTTAAAATTAATTCAACATTGCTAGCAGATTCAACAAGAGTGTCGACCATTTGTTTGCCGATTGTACCTATAATTTGATAAAACAAGCCATAAGGAGAAAGCAGCAGTTAAAAAATAACACCTAGCTTACCATTTACTATATTTCCCTCCAACATGGACAACATCATGGTTATCATATCTTTTTGCAAATTTAGTAGCTCCTTCAGCAAATCCACTTGACTAGAGTGTTTGGATAATTTCTCTTGCATGTGGGAGAATAGGAAAAGAAAACCACCTACAGCATCCCATAAACGGGAATGAGCCAGAGCCTGTTGATTTAAACTACAAGGACCCTGGATGACTTCTGTTAGCGTATTAAACACTTGACTGGCTACACCGATGGCCTTGAAAAAGTTAGCTTTGCCGGCCGGATCAATTATTTCTTTGCTGGAGTAATGCCAATAGAAATCCATAATAGATTCTTGTAACCGCAAAAGATAATCAACGGTGCAGATGACTACATTGACCGTCGTAGTGTTGCCCGCTTGTGTACGCAAATAATTCTGCCAGTCTAAGAGCAGAGCAAAATTACTATAAATCGTATTTAAAGAGTTGTTGGGCTTTGTGGGACTTACCTAAGTTATGACCTTCACATGTTAACTGTATGAAACGGAACAAGGCACAGGTAAATTCGGCATCATGCATATTTTTCTCACCGGCAGCGCCTTCCGAACCGACACCAAGACCTGCACCCGCACTTGGAATGTATTCTTTCTTGCATAATATTTATAATATGGAGTGGGAATAGCGGTGCAGGATGGATCAGGCGGGTTTCATGACAATTTTTTTGATGATCATGGGACGAAGCAAACGACAATCGGGAAACATGTGGATAATCGTGCAAGGCATTCTTTTTTTAATAAAATTAAGACAAAATGTTTCAGTGTAAAAAAGGTAGGAAGGAAAATATGGTAGGAAAAGGAGAAGTGAAAGGGAAGGAGCTTGTCAAGCGAAAATTGGGAAAATTTGTGGTATGATATTACCTTCTGCTTTGGTGTTACGTTCAAACGCATCCAAATCCAAGACACTGCACGAGTTCATTAAACCAGCAATCGATGTAAAGAAGCCTACATCCTTTTTCTCTTTCAAATGGTTCAACATACCCATCTGAATGTCAATATTGCCCCCACGCAGTATAGCAATGCCGAGATTTAAAGTGGTCATCACCATTTCCGAAGGTACTCCTTTTGAAGCGGAAATATGTAGTAAAACCATTTCTGCTACACCACGATTGGAGAGACGGGCTTGATGGAAAAGCAGCTTTTGCTTTTCCATTTCTTGTTCCTAAAAAATATTGATATTTATAATTACTGTTTGGCTAATGGCAATAGACTTGAGCATTGCAATGGTTTAAAGAAAACAGTTACCACTAGTTTAATGATAGTGTACTAAGAGAGCGTTAGCATAAAGATTTTAAAAAGACTGGTTAGAATTCAGGAAAAAAGAAAAAGAATTAAGAGAAGCACTTACGTGAATCCTGCTACGTTCACCTTCACTACCACCACCCCCACCTTCGGCTTCTTCACCTTCTTCTTCGCCTCCGCCTTCCTCCTCTTCCTCACCACAGGATTTGGCAGCTATCTGAGCATAAGACATGTACAAAAGATCCTCTTGTAAAGCTCCACTTCTCTCTGTCATGGCTCCACGACAGAAGGTTGTCACCAGTTGTGTTAACGGATCCGGTTTGCCTTCTGTTTCTTCTTCGTCTTTTTTCGATTTCTCAGACTCTTCGAAAGTCTGCGTTAGGTCTTCAATCATCACTTCTTGGCCAACGTTTTCCTCTTCTAGCCATTGTTCATAGTAAGTGCGAGCAAATATATTGCAAGCACGATGTCTGCGTAGAAAATTGGAGAGACAGGTTAACAAAGGTTTAGCATGCAACAAAGGAAAAGCAAATTAAAAACCTTTAATATGAAAAATACGCATTTGTTAGTTTGTCAAAATGATAAAGAAGCAAACAGATGCGCATTCATTAACCAAAGCATAACACATGTACACACGAATATCCTTTAGTGTATTCTTTGCACTATAGATTCACTTCATACAAAACATTCCCACCTGCTAACGCGGTAGAGATGTATGGAACGTAAACTGGAAAGGACCGCTCGGCGTCGTGCCATTGTAATTTTCGAAACCCGGCTCTTTGATTTAAGCTTGTGACGAGAAGACTGCAGAAATCAAGGACAAAAACTGTGTATCAGCCAAAGGACAAATGCTAGCGACAACAGCAAAATGTTACATCGAAATTGAGATTAGTTGGAGTGATTGATGAAGTGAGATACAAATCAAAAAAGGAAACAGTGCCTGAAGAGCCGGAAACGATTGCATTGAATGCTAAAAAAAAAAACTTAGGAGATTCAACATTCTCGTTTAACAAACATTAACATAAATGCATTCCTTTACAGCTCTGTATAATAAAACATTAAAAGGATAATTGGGATAGTTGAAGAGGAGGATTATTAGTGACCGTCAGGGTGTTAGTTGTAGATTTTAATTCGTTTGTTAGTGGACAAATTCAAATGACAATTTGCACGATTATTGAGGTATAAAAACCTGGGTAAAGAATGTAAAGATGTTTGACGGAAACATGCAATAACCGCACGCTTCCGTTGTATGGAAACAACGCTCCTGTAGACGTTTTTACTCTGCTGTTGGGGATGGTCGATCTGTAGAGGTAGTTTTGATGTACAGTGTCGTTGTGATTTTATAAGTGTAAAAAAATAAAGACAATAATGTTAGATATGGATGAAGTCAACTAAGCTCAATATTGATTTCATTATATTTGTAGAAGAAAAAGGTGAGATAATATAAGGACTATTATCTTATTTCTAAGTCGAAGAGATGAAGAGTAAGATTTAAATAGAAGGAGAGAAAGAGAACGGGAAAATATGCGTCCAAAGGAAGAAGATCTGATTACGTACCATATGTAGACCGTAAAGAACTTTGGCCATTGCTACTATACGATCGACCGTCTCTTCAGTCTTGTCTTTGCCTTTCTCGTTTTGATTGGTGGACTTTTCGACGGCCTGCTCTTCGGTTGGCGGTTCCTCTTTTTTGCCCAATTTTGAGTAAAGATAATGTTGCCACGACATTTCATCCGAAGGATCTAGTTTGTCGGGTAGCGTTAGTTGATTGCGTGCGAAATCGATGACATCGTATTCTTGCATCTTCTTCAAATAACGATCCTTGCAATGCTGTACCAGTTCCTGCTCACGTCCAGCAAAGAGGTTCAATCCTACCGGCAGTAATCGTTTTAAACAAGCTACCATAAGACTCGCTTGAATTTCTTTATCTTTATCGCGTTTTTTGTCACGATTCTTTTTCTTCTTTTTTGCTTTGCCGCCCGTAACCGGAGCACCTTCAGTTATACCTGACCGTCGGGCTGCAGTCGGCATAATTAAGGCCATATTGTCAATTTCATTGGCGGAAATGAAGTTCTGCTCTTCTTTCAAGAAGTACTGACTCTTGGACCAAATATTGAATATTTCGGCCACGTGATTATATAACTCTTCGGCTTCTGGGATGTTGTCTTTTAACCAGTGATTACGTTGCAAATCGACGTATTTAATTAACAAAGGATAAAACGAGTAGATATCGCGTACCAGTAAATTCCAGTCTTCTTGTAGCTGTGTTTCTACCTGTGATGTATCGTCGCTGGCCGATTTAATAAAACCACGCATGCTTTCTTCTTTATGATACATATTTTCAGTACGTTTCTTAACGCGTTCCGCTAACGGTAAAAAGGGATCTTTAAGCAACTCTTCCGAAGTATTAATGATAATTTGTTGTGTGTATGCCGCAATTCTGGTCATCCAAAGAGCATTGTCGTTGCCTATATTCTTCTTAATCATTTTCAAGACATTACGCAGCAACGAGTTCATATGATCGGCTGTGACCATTGTCACGTGATTGCCGCTCGTTGGACTTACATTATCAGGTCCCTGAGCCCACCAGAATGGCAGATAAGAACATAGCAAAGGCAAGATCACATCAATAATGTGTGGAGCATCAACGTAGGTTTTATCAGATTCTACAAATTGATCAACTTCGTTCAAAACCGCCTCTAAATTGGGCATGCAACTTTCCATTTTTACCATAATGTCTTGGGCTTCTAAAGAATGATCCGCTATTCGATTGAGTAAGGAGAACTGATTGTGTTTATTCAAATGGGGTTCAAAGAACGCCACAGGAAAGCAAGAACTGTAGGCTCCCAAACAGGAACCTAGAGCTGGGCGATGTCTATCAATTTCGGTTTTTAAATATTTTCTGTCATGCGTTAAAGTTCCATCAGTCCCTAAATGATATAAGGCTGCTAAAATTTTATATGAAGCAACTTGTATCTCATCCAACAACAAATCGCTGCCATAGTCACAACCAGCCAAGTGGTCGAACATAGCTGTTAGCACTGGCAAAACTACTTGATTGATGTACCCAAGAGAAGTAGAAGTCTTCAGATGTGTTCCCCTTAGGTGACTGTATTTGCCATCCTGCAAATTTAAGATTGTTGTACCCAAATCATCGGCTGTTTGATTAAAGAATGTTAACATTGACGTCCTAATAAATTCGGGGCAATTCTTCACTAATGTCCTAGCATCAATGCCTTTGACTAGCACTTGAAGACAACGAACCGTTATGCGCACATCAGGACCGAAAGCAGTCAAGCGATTACGTAACAATGAAGCCAATTTACAAAATATTGAAGCGACCATTTCCTTCTCTTTTAATGATGCTCCCACATTATTAGTAGCTGTAGCTACGGCAATGAAGTAGTTACGATGCGTTGAAAAATACTTTTCCATAAGCGGCAGCACGACTTTGGAGAAGAATTTGATATCCCGAGAAGCAGTTTTGAAAGATGAGCGTCTGCTAAAAGTAGTAGAGGGTTTTAACAATTTCATGTTGATAGTGGCCCGATCCAGGTATTGTATCAATTTTTCCAGTAAGGAATAAGAAAAACGTGACTCCACCGCAATTATAGCTGCACCACCTTCACCCTCTGCTCCGCCCTTAGAAGGTCTATGAACACACATTTTGGTCAGTAGATTTCTTATTAATTAATTTAGTTTAGCGCTTACTTGTGCAATTTATAACCCTGGTATTGCATGTATTTAAGAAACTCTTGTGAACGCTCGCGATCTTTACGCTTCTCTTTATCCGTTAGCAAATCATAAGGCACTAGCTGAGGATGTATCGCACCACCACAAGTGTCTAATTCTTCCTTTTTCTTTTTAGCCCAAATATCGTGAGAATTTTCGGCTAAACGCTCTGCCATATTTTGCATTTCACGGCTGAGCGTAAGATTCGTCATATCCACAGGGTGTGGATGGTAGTTAAATGCACTACCTTCACTCTGAAAATCATGCTGTTCGTCAAGGTAAATTCATACAATTTAAATTTATGGACAGTGGGATTTAAAGACCATGCAAAGTGAGAGTGTTTTGAACATATTAATTAATTGGGAATTATCTCATGTCCTTTATACATACAATTTGAGGTTTTGACTGACGTCTCACTGAACCACGATTGTTTTGAGGCACGTCAATATCAGAATGCTCAATTGTCCAACCTATAGCCAGGAGGGCTTTCAAACATTCCCTAACGGGATCCTTATAGCGTTCGCGTTCCTAAATTAAATGAAAATGTCATCTTAAAAACTTCCATATCAATATCAGTGCATGAAGTCCTACATATTCACTTAGCATATTATAGGGCTTCAGTCTTGGATGTTTACGATCAGTGTCAGAACGAATTTCCCCATGTGTCCACCCGCTTTCCAAACGTCTACTTGCCCAAGCATCGTGATAGTGTTCGCTGAATTTCTGCACTAAAGAATTGTAATCATTAGTTAAATGTACATTTGTGGTGTCGATAGGGTTTGGATCGTATTGTGGCTGATCAGGAGAGCCCGATTGACGCCCATAATAGTCTTCTTCCGTATTTTTAGATAAACTGTAATCGGGAGGCAAAGCACATCCGATTGCAATCAGACAAGGAAGAGCTTTGCCAAACAATTCTGGATCGTAGTCCATGTTACTAAGAGAGTCAAATATATTCGAAAATAAAAGCATTGTAAGCCGTTTTTCTTCATCTGAGGCAGCGCCATATGAGCCTTGACCTTGGCTAGAACCATAGTATTTGGCACACCGATCGAAATGTAAAGTCAGAAGCTACAAAATTAATATGTTACAAGATTAAAGACATCGTTTGCAATGTATTTTGTAAAATACATACTCGTAAGGCCACGGTAGTGTATTCCGATAGCTTTGAAACATCAACAGTTAGCTTACGCAATAATTTGAGTAACATAGCTGGCTGCATTTGTGATGTTAAGGCTACCAAAAAGTCTGATACGGCTTCTCTTTGACCTTTGGTGAGCATACGATTTTTAGATAATCTATAGACTGTGTGGAGAGTGGCGTCTAGTAAACTAGCATAGTTTTCTGCTTCATTATAAAATTTTGAATGTTTGATTAATAGAGGTAGAATGGAGTTACCAATGTAGCGATTCATTGCCAGGGCCATATCACTCTCAGACCCGTCGCTTTTATCTAAAATTGTCGCGGTTCTTAGATCAGGTAGAAAGGCATCTTCCAATAAGCGATAAAAAAGGTCTTGAGTTTCTATACCATAAACGCGCTCCAAAAATAAGACTATGCTTTGCTTGTTGTTGGGCAACAAACCGGATGGCATGTCGGACTTGGGCCTTTCTTCACCTGGAGCAGTTTGCAGAATGGTGAATTTTAAGCTGAGGACACCTTGCAGATCCTCAAGTGGCACAAGAGATCTCAAAATAGCTCTAGCTCTCAGTGATTCGTTCTTACCCTGCTCTATAACTGAAGCATCGGGGGCACATCTACCCAAAAGATCAACAAGAGTGCAGTAGAAATTTAGTATTGCTGCACCGGTATCAATATAATCTTCATCTTCATCGCCTTCCGGCAATGGATGTGTGAAGTTGAGACCAGTGATGGTACCTTCAGGTTCGTCTTGTATCTTGCAACGCTCTGAGATGCGTTCAGACATGCGATTGGCTTCAACTATAGCACGGAAAAGGCCTTCACCTTCTCCTCTCAACGCTGGACCTAAACATTCTGGCCGGCGTATGAGCAACCGAATAACAAGATTTGCATTCTCTTCAACGCTCTCACCATTTACCCAAACGCAGTAACGCAAAAAGTCCAAATAGCGTTCGCCTTCAACCGGATCCCAACCCAAGTCGGGATACCCCTTTTCAATAAGTTCAGAATTACTTTGAAGACCGCAACGTGAAAGATAAATTGCAATTTTTTCTAAATAGTGTTCTCTAAGTGCCAGAGCTAATTCTGTGTTCTCCATTAAACTTGAGTATGCCACGTCTAAAGGAGTAGAACCGCGCAAACTTGGTCTAGCCAAAAGTATATTCGCGTTGTCAAGTAGAAAATCGAAGTGGTCAAACATAGCCTTTTGATTCTGTCTTCCAGTTCTACAGAAATAACAGAGGAAACGGCAACAAGCCACCACCATTTCGTGAGAAGTATCCTTCTCCTTATGTGGAGCTCCTTCCATTCCCTCTGTTTGGGCTGGGGCATCACTTTGCGCTTGCGCCCGTCTACCAAGTGTATTCATCATCACGGCCATTACGTTTTCATGTATTCTAAGGATTCTTATTAAATCGGGATGTTGGAAGAATGTGGCATTATTAACTAATTTCCACAAACGTTTTCGCATTAATTCTTCTTCATCCTGACTCATCTGTACTGGCAGCAGAGCACGAATTTGACTTAAACCCACCCACATTTCAGCTGCGTCGTTTCGGGCTTTGTTATTAATAACATAAGTCTTACCAAGAGCTCTCACGAGCTCCCCTACTGTGTCGTATTGGCGTACGAGTAAACTAAACATCTCACGCACCAATTTTGGATTTTCAATTTGTGATTCCTCAGCCCAACTTACAATTGTCTTAATTAGGACTTTGCGGAATACTTCTTCAGGAGTTTTCTTTTCAGGTTCCTCAACTTCCTTAGGCCCTTCTTCCAATTCTTTTACAGTGTTAATGAAATTGAAGATTTTCGTTATCGGTCCAGTTTTAACTTCTTCTACCCCGTTGCTTTCTGGCTCATCAGGCTCTTGCAAAGCATTTAAAGACACCTTCTTCATAAGGCCATCATGAAAATCATGTAAGCGTCCTCGCAAATCTAAACCACAGGTACAGTTTTCTTGATCATCGGGCTCAAGATTCTTAAAACATAGAATTTGATTCATCTGTTCTCGAGGTGGACAACGGAACTCTTTAGTTTTCTTAGCTGCTACGGCGCTGGGAAGATCGGATTGCTTGATTTCTATGTAACGTCGCAACTGATCACCTTGCAGATCTCCTACAAAGTCATGAGAAAAGGCAATGATGCTCTCTACACGATGTCGTAACTGTATGTCGTATAAATGTTGAAGAAGATAACACATTTGTAATTTTGCTCCTTCAGCCATCTTCATAGTTAGTAAGCCCTTGCGGTGCTCATCTTTTCCATCTACGAAGGGAATGTAAATGGCGATATTTTTATATAAACAGTTTAAAAAGCTTGCCTTTCTCGAAGTTAACATCCCATGTTTCGGGATCAACCATAAGCAGAAGTTTTTGGACGTCTTCATCCGTAAGAACGCCGACGAGAAGTAGACGATCCGTAAGCTTGATTAAAGGTCTTTAACATACGTTGATTAAAATATATTGACTACGGTCGAGCTATAGGTTCATTATTGCGGATACTTACAAGAAAAGGTTTTCATTGGTCCAACCAATCGGGTCTCTGTTGTGAACCTGATTAACTTCCACAGCTTCTTGCAATGCTTCCATTACAAATTCGCGAACAATTTCTAAGGGAAACTTGGGAGAGTAGAGTTGATCGATTTCCGGCACAGTCTCGCTAGAAACACTTTGTATACTAGATGTTTGCAATTTACAGACCGAGTAAAAGAAAAATTGTTGGTTGAGGAAGTGACGTGCCGATAGTCGATGTGCATGTGCAAGTGAATATAGAAACCAGCAGTGTTAAAGTGCGGGATTTCGTGTACAGGTTTGATAAAGCGTGCAAGGAAAAGAAAAGTAAAACAAATAGTGAAAAGAAGGTTTTTTCGGTCCGCGATGTTTGTTTTTGTCATAAAATACGCTCTAACGGCCGAAGAGGAAGTTTTCAAAGATCTTGTAATAAGAGTAAGAATTGTATTTTAAAATTTTACAAGAACTTTTAATACTTACGTAATATCGGTCATACGCATTTGTGGTCGAACCGATTCAGTAACTAAAGATCTTAATGAATGGCACATTTCTTCATCTTCATAAAGGGCCTTCAATTCTGCTCCCAGAGGAATAATGAATTCATTTTTACAAACTTCCATTGTAGTAGCGTGAGACTCCAAGTGTAATGCAATTAACAGATCATAGAAGCCCTGTCGTAACGGTCCACTCATATATTCGGAACGTATAGCATAGAGCAATTGTTTTTGATCGACATGTTGACATAAAGCATGAGCTGCTCTGTAATTGGATTGATAGCAAAGCGCTGCATACAAGGTGAGTGTGTGAGCATGGAAGGAAAGCAATTTGTCCATTTCTATGAGTTCTAAAATGTCAATACAACGATCCTCTTCGGGAATGTGCAAAGCTAGCATAGACACGGGATCCTCACAGAGCATAGACCATCCACGAATGTCTGATAGTTTTAAGGCATGAACTTGCAATGCGGTATTTGGCACCCGTGCCCATTGATGTGGTCGAAGACATTGAACTTTTAGACGTGGCGGTGATTGCGGATTAATATGTTTATCACTTGTAGGCAGTACAGCAGCGGAGAGAGGCAGTGTTGTGGCAGTGCGTCCCAATTCTATTTGTAAGATTTCCTTGCTTGTAGCTTCCACAAAAATGGCCGGGAACAGCTTAGTATTGGGCTCCATGAGCCAGCGGTGTGAAGTTTCTTTTCCTTCACAAGTAAAACGTATCATGCCAGTAGCAGTGTCCACAAAACAACCAACAAACATGCCTTGCGAAGCGCCTTTACCGGAGGCATCTTGAGTTACTTCATTGAAGAGTTCATCTGCACGTACCACATAACAGCTTTGGCGATCGATGCGCTCTATGGGATTTTCGTATTCGTCTTCAATAATTACAGAGCCACGTCGAACGCGATTTTTATTAAATTCTTTACTGTGCAAATGGTATTGGGTTGTCACCCAGCCAACATATACGTGAGTAGGATCTTGACCAGGATAAATTCTTATGCCGTAAAAGTATTCATTTATTAATTTTAAGCATTCGGCATCAAACATTTCGTTGCCCGATGATTCGATAGGCGGCTGGCCAAGAGTACCACCGCTTAAAGGTTTGGGACCCTGCACGGTTGGCGTTTGTGGCATTTCAACCTAAATCCAAATAACAACAACAACAAGTAAAATTGCTGCGAATTTAAGATTAGCATCTGTACTTACGTTATTTAGACGTAAAGTGGGAGCTCGGGGAGCCATTTGAGCGTTAACAACATTACGACCATGTGCGACGGTGTTGCGACGTTCTACAGATACTTCCGGAGCGCGTCCAGCCGTTTTTTCTTTGCTTTGATCACGTGATTTTTTCGAGAAGAATTTGAATGGGCTACGACCACGTTTCTTTTTTTCATCCAAAGCCTCTCCATCTAAACCATTAATGTCAAGTGTGGAACCTTGAAGTTCTTCTGGCAAAGTGAGACCATCTTGTTCAAATGTAATATTGCGCGTTATTGAACCTTTACGAGGCGGTCTAGAAGGGCCTCGCATATTTTCATCAGCTTCGGCAGTATCGTCATAGTTGCGATTAAGGCCTTTTATGTCGCTCATAGTAAAGCCACTCTTCAACATATGATCCATGTGAGCGGATGTTTGCTGCTGAGCTATTTCTGCATCGCGCATCAATCTATACTGGCGTAGTTTAATTTCCTCCCAGCGTCGAGCCTTTTCAGTTTCCGAGATGAATTCCCCCATACACGTCACTGGTAAGGATAACCGTAAAAATTCCCAATTGGCTTTTTCCATTGTTTCGAAAGTATTGTGTGAAATTTTCAAATGAGGCGGTGTATCCGCGCCACCAGGTATACGTGTGACGTCAATACGGCAGTCGGGCATTTCTTCAGTGTTTTCGAAAATTGGTTGATCCTTAGTGTACCAGTGCGTAACAGGACGTCTCATGTTACTGAAATTGTATAATAGTGAAGCAACTTTGCTTTTTGCTTATTATTTGATTAAGTTAATCCGTTAACTTACACGCAAAACGGTTCATAACCTTCTTGAAGGCCACATGTGGTAAAGAATTTTAAAGAATCTACATCTTGACCATAGATTAAACGAGCTTTTTGGCCTACACCAAGCGTACAGGCGGGTACAAAGCCCACGCCTTCAGCTGTGACGTCAGCAAATGTCGTCTCACCACCCAAAGCATCCATTAGAAGTTCGCCATTTAATGAAAAACCTACAAAATTTGATATTAAAATTTGGAAAAGTTTTTAATCCCTAAGTCTAAAACAAAATTACTACAAATAAGGAAGCGTTTGATGCCGTTAGTTGTTCTCATGCTCATGTATTAATGGCATTCCAGTGAAGTATTGTATATGTAACGGTTTGGCAAAATTAATGGCTGTTAATAATCAGGTAAGTGAATGTTAACTCATGCCAAGTGTTAACGTCTAATTATTTTGATCGGGAGCTAAAAGTGTAGCGAAGTAATGAAGCGCTCCATGTTAAAGATTACTGTAAGCTAAAAAGTAAAGCATATGTATTGTATGTCTAAAGAAAACTAATGTTCATCAAGAAGTGTATTGAAAGCCAGATATCAAGAGGGAATGAGGAACCCATTTGCTGTAGAAGATCAAACCGTTAGCCTTTGACTTGGTGAAGAGAATCTATTGGATGGTATTAGTGGTCTTGTGTCTATTTCAAAGTTTCTCAGGGTAAAAGTTTTTTTTTCGGATATCTCAAATATTTGTGTAGTAATAAATTTCGGGGAGCGGCAGTTTTCGGCTACTTAAGAATTCTGCGGAATTGTAGAGGAAATTTCAATTGAACTAACTTAGTTAATAATATAAGCAATGGGGGACACAAGGTATAGCGACACGGTTTTCGTTTAAAAAACTTCTTACTGATTGTATGATCGGCGACATCTAAGAACACTCCAACTATATCACCAGGTCCACATTGTTTACCGAATGTTTCACTTGCTCCGCCAAAAACTTTCTCTTCCTAAAACGCATTGTATGCAATAAGTAGATTGTGTTAAATAAAAAATCAACGCAATAGTATAATTTTTATATATGTTTAGCTACGAAAATAATATCTACAAACCCCTGAGAAGAAAAAAATCCTAATTAAGTTAAAATTGAACGAAAAGTAAACAAATTTTCAAACAAAAAATTAGTCAAAAGTTGAAATGTTGAAAATAAAACGCTTGCTATCAACCAATACACTCTTGCTATGCTATATTAAATCCTTACTGATAGTTTGCTCCTTGACATCAATAAAACAACCGATAACATCGCCTGCTTCATAAAGTATACCGAAATGTTCAACTGCGCCTGCATGAACTTTGGTTACCTAGATTTTCGTTAGAAATAAAATAATACACAAATTTGGAAACTTCATGGCATCTTCTCTTTTTAGAATACCATGATTTCCAAACCTTTAAAACTGGCTTAGCAATTAGTATAAGTCGTCACGTTTGGATCTTTTAAATTATATATAGTACTTACGTTATGACCGTCGAATGCCCAACTCGTGTCCTCACTACCCAACATCGAACCTGGATTGCAGTCAGCACGTGCCCAACCGACTCGCATAGGTCCAGAGGTAAGAACCTCGAATTCGAAATACCATTTGCCCGAAGTAACCGCATAGTTGCGTTCGACGCGATAAGTGCGAAAAGCAGCAAATTTAAGACGCAACGCTTCAGCTAGCAGTGCCTCATTCCCCTCACCAGTTGGTGGATCTAGAACATAACCGTAAACTAACAAAGTACGTACAGTTTCAGAAGCTGTGTCGCGATTAGCTTTTTTTATGGCTTCATCGACTTTAGCATAGGGTACTAAATGAGGACTGCGAAGGTTTTCGGAATCTTCGTTAAGTCCATAAGTCCAGCCTTGTTGTATGCGTTCACGTGCCCACAAATTATGGGTATTTTCGGCCAATTGATCTACTAGTTCTTCAAGCTTTGGAGTGAGAGTGACAGCACTTAGATCTAAAGGAGCCGGTTTGTAACCATTCGCCTGCATAAACAGCTCGTTAGGCAAGCGTATGGGTCTAATTCTGGCCGGCGGTTTATCCATAGTTATATAGTAACCCAAAGCAACAATAGTTCTAAAGAATTTCAAACAGCAGGTTAGTAAAAATGTCCTTACAGTAAACAATTAAACAAGTGCTCACTTTAATGTTTGCACTGCTAACTGGTTATCATAACGTTTTTCAGCTGGAGGCAATTTCTCAAATTGTGTCAAACACGGATGTATGCGATGATAATCGTCTCTATGTTCACCCCAAGCCCAACCGGCTTCGATTTTGTTAAGGGCCCACATCTCGTGAATGTTTTCGGCCAATTTCTCTTTAATTTGATCTACTGAGGAAGGCAAACTAACACCAGAAGTATCGACCGGCTGTGGTACGAAGGCGGTATCATCCTCAATAAGCCAAGGACCAGCTAAAACGTTCTTATTCAAATTACCGAAATAGAAACAAGGATCCAAACTCAATATTTGATGGGGCATTAGACACTGAACGAGAGGTGAGAAACCAGGCGGTGGAGCAAATTTTAGTCGACCATGATCTCCGCCGAACAAAAAACGGCAACTAAAAAGATTTAAGTGAAATTTTTCTGACATATGATTTAACATAGCATGTCATTACAAGTTACCTCAATTTCGAGGAACAGCTCATAACTGGGAAAAACATGCCATCCAAGTTGAATTCTCTAAAACAGCCGCGTACTTTGTTGCCATTGAAAGTGAACGTTATTACGGGCACTGATAAATCAATTGTTACGCCAATAACATCACATTTCCGTATAAACGGTTCTTCGGGAACCTGATCCATGACCAGAGTTTTACGTCCCCCGGTCCATAAATAGGCACCATCGAAACCGAACGAATATAAATCATCGCCAACTCCGTTGCCGCCCCATTTTTTGCCGCCGCCCGGATATGGAACGTAGCTAAGATGGGAGGATATACAAGAGATTTTATAAATTCCATGGCCTCTGATAACTTACCCAGTGGTGTTGGCCCATCCTATGCGTAAATGCGGCATCATATGTGTAGTCTGTTCAATATGATCCATTGTTATTTCAAAGTACCATTTTTGATACAGAGCCGAACCTTCTACGCGGCCCACAAATATGTTTGGCCTTATACTGGCAACATGATCAACAAGTTGCGTTTGCAACAATAAATTTTTTCCCGGCAACAAAAAATCGCAAATATTATTTTGCGAGGAACGCACCGCTACTCCGTTACCTACACATAGCGAACACAGGACATCCAAAACTTTAGGATCTCGCCCGTGCTTCTCCAAGAGTGATATAATCACCTTGATATGTTCGTCTCGCATCATGTTTAAAGCTTCGGGTGAATCAATCAATACGCAATGAAGTACATCCAACATGCCAGAGCCCTCGCTAGACGCTTGCGATCCCAAGCGAGAAAACAGCCAATTTAAACGATTGCTGTTAGCAAATTGCGCGCAATTTGTGTGATTGCCTTTAATAATCGCCGCTAACAATTGATACAGATAAGTGGAAATAAGGTCCCAGCTTTGACCGGTTTCGTCGCCAGCTAAAAAGCTGGCTAAAAAGCCTTGAGACGTTATGCTGTTAATTTTATCAATGGCTTCTAAAATTAGATTGAGAACACCTTCCTCCTGAAAGAGATCTTGACGATTACGTAAAGCACGGAAACGATTTTGTTTTTCCTCATGTTCTAATGATCAAAAAAGAATGAGGCTACTTAAATTTATCGGTCATGGAACATTTAGCGCATTACAAATGCATACCCATATCGTCCTCCGGCTGTGAAAAGTAATTGATTAAATCTTCAAGACACATAACCATTTCGTTAAGGTTAACTTTCTGAAAGAAAACTGAATGACGTCGATTTAATTGCAGAATTTCTAAAGCACTGAAACGAAATAATAATTAGACGTTAGGAATGACGAAATTCTATACATTTATAATAAAAAATTTCTACGAAAATGATCAAGCGTAAGTATAGCTATTTGAACCTGCAATAAATTGCTAAACTTCATTTCACCTTATAAATTGTGTAAATAAACTGCTACATTTGCGTATAACGCGAGCCGTTTTCGATTCCTCCTCCTGCGAGCGCGAAAAGTCCAAACAATCATCCATTTTTCCTTCCTCATGCAAAATGGCTTGCTTCTCTTCAACTTTGCCGACTCCTTTCTTCTTCGTTTCATAACTTTTGTAGCTAAGCCACAAACCGCTCTCACAATGCTGTACAATAACTGTAGTATCGCCATATTTGATAATAGGAGAACCGATAACTTCGAGATCTTTATCTTCTAGCACTTTTTTCTCGTCATCCTTCTCCTGTCTAAGGCAAAAAGTGGTTGTAGCTATTGAAGCTTCCTCTTTTTTCACCTGCAAGTTTGTTCCAATTTAGAAAGATTATGAAGACAAGTGGATTTAGATAGCGCCACACGATGTATGAATAATCTCTTTTATAATGCATATATGGAAATTTACCAAAATTAATTCGTTATTATCGTTGACACCTAAATAACGTCCTGTAGTGATATGTCGAAATCGCATTGGATGAAACCACATTATAAAACCGCCCGTCCATTTAGTGCGGGCCAATTCCAAACGCCACAATGAACGGGCTTGTGACATGACCGAACCGCCTTCATAAATGACAATACTGAGAAAGAATGAGCAATTACTGGGGTATAAACGATTAATTAAATGAAATTAATTACTTTTGCCCTGCTTCACGTCCCCACGTGCTGGGTATAGTAAGACATTCATCGCCGCCATGGAAAAAACGTAAGACATCTCCACCAAATACGTAACCTACATACTTCATGCGGGATATGCCAGTACCATACGGTTGCACCGACCAATGTGTCACATGAAAGCTCGCATTTACAATTGACAATTCGTTCTCCTTGGTTGTGTGCTAAACGAACATGAATAAATGATATCCAAAATGTGTGTGTAAACGCTAAAGAATTGAGGTTAATATCTACCAAATAACGTTCAGTGGCAACAGAGACTAAAATCAAGTCATCGCCTACACGCACTTTCTCACCCTCACTACGTTGCTTACTTGCAGGATGAACCGTCCACCAGCATGCCTCACCTTGACTATGTTCTTGCAGACCAACATCAAATGATAATTTGTCATTAGAAGACGACGTTGAAAGGCAAGCTAAATACTAAGTGTGCACAGGATTGTGGAAGAAAATCAAAAGAATAAAAGTTAACATCAAGATAAAAAAAAATCAATGTGGTTGAAGGGCACTGCTGCTGTTCGACAACTTACCATGTCGCTGTTATGATGACGCAGTAGTATAGCATTGCCATACAGTAACGTTCTATGACCGGAACCAGTACCTTTGCCCTGCGAATAGATATTTTATAAATAGCAACAGGCACTTAAATCGTTATTACACTCTTGGCAATTGTTGTTATCATTACATAAATAAAATTATTATAGTAAATTGGTCAAATAGTTCGCTATTTTTCCGTCAAAAGCTTGATGCTGAAATCTTATTGAAGATATAATTTAGGATTTATGGGGAATTTTGTGTAAGTCAGCCGAAGCTGCTTAAATAAGATTTTCACGTTTCAGATCTACATCACTTATTAAAAGGCGATACAGATTTTTCTTATTCCCATTTCGTATATAAGTAAACGTATGTTTGTAAAATTCTCCGATTTTTCTGTCTTTTTTTTTTTTTACGTCATAATATACAAAATTGTGATAGACAATGTGTACAACACGAATGTGGGTGCAAATGATACAATGAATAAGATACAATCAATATTATTCTTCAATTAGATTAACTTAGCTTAGGTGTGGTTTAGAGTATTTGCAACAATCTAATATTATTATTATTACTATTATTTTTCGCTTTTTTGTTGTAAATGGCAAAAGGAGATGATAATGAGAAAGAAATGAAAATGTTACAAAATTTTATTTATTTTTATCTTGATTTTATTATTGATTACCTTAGTAAAATGCAATAGCAACGAATGTCGCCGTCGTTTTAAGAAAAGAAAAGAAAAAGAAGAAGCTATTGAAAGTCTCAAATGAAATGATTTCGATAGCGAATATGGAACTAGTCATTAAAGATTTTAAAATGGTTCATTGCATATATTGACTTATCAGAATTTTTCATAGTTACATCCACTTGTAAGTCATAATCCAAAATAGTTGAATAGATTCTGCAAGAATTCATTCAAAGTTCGACAATGGTATTAAGTATTTTGCAAAGGCTTTCGAAATAATAGAATCTTGAACCTTTATATTTTAACGAAAGATTTATTACTAATAACGACATTAACCATGTTATGGCGTTGTGATTGACCATTAGTCATAAGAGAGCTAATTGGGAAATTTGCTATTCCGGAGAAACAATCACAGTCAAACTTTCTGTTATCAATCTCATTATAATGTAAAACAAGATAGTTAAGTCGCGAAGACGGTAAAAACAGCAAATGCTTAGGACAGCCTTGTGACGTCTCTGTGATGTTGTTAAGTATGCGGTTGCAAGTCGAAAATGGTAGAGCTCTTCGAAAGCGCCTATTCCAGCTTAAGTTCCCCTAATATAGAAGACTACTTTTGTCATCAGAGTTCCCCTAAATTATTAAGTGTACTAACAAACAAACAAAAAAAATTGTCTATGTATTTTTACTTGTTATTATATTCCACACAATTCGTGGTACGGGGTGTATTAAGTCAGACGTATGTAACATGCAGAAGGGCTTAAGATAGGCCCACATTTTATTATACCGATGGATTCCGAATCATAATCTGAATTGATCTAAGCCTGTCTGCTCGTCTGATGTCCGTCCATTAAATTCGTGTTCAGGTTTTTGAGATATTTTGCTGAAATTTGGTACAGTGAAGTATTTTGACCCAAGGACGAACGCTATTGAAAATGGTTCCATTTTTTCGATCACTTCCCACACAATGCCCTATTCTGAAAAGCCAGGCCCTGAGTTTGGACCCGCAACCATGGAGGTGTTAATCCATGTTAGATTCTTTGCCTACTCGGTCACTCAGGCGTATCTTTTCACTTGTAAGAAAGTTTAACAATCGAAATATACAGGAAGCAACTAAACTTGCTACATCTAATATAAATATTTTTAAGGATCAATATCACCTTATGTTCGTTAAAAGAGGGATCAAGTTTCTACATTTACACTATATAAAGATTTTTCCGATCAAAAAGGTTTGTTAGTTTCCCTGGGCAAGAATTGTAAACCTGGCAAAACAAGATTTCTTTGTCGCTTGACTCCCTGACGGATCGGGACAGATCATCATTTTTCATCTAGAATAATAAATTAAAAATTCTGCGAAAATCCGACCAACGTTTCGTTTTTGAAAAACCATAAAATTTTAATTTATCGAGAGAAGAACTGTCTTGACGATTATTAGCGATTATTATTTTATTTTGAAATTGCAGCGAAATGTTAAGGCAATTGAACGGTAAATTGAAGTGACCGTTCAAGAACGGTGGCCTTAAGAAAAGGCGCGTGTGAAGTTTTAAGTATCCTTGACAGTAGATTTCCCGACATCTGAGTCGAAAATATCTTCATGCGTTCAAAAGTTATAGACAATAATTTAAATTATCTGCGGTTTCTGGGATGGTCTTAGTTTCTTCTGCATTGTGGGATTGTCTGTAAACAAATTACACTCAATTTTTGTCTCGTGTCTTGAATTGATCAAGACATGTTTTTGGCAAATTATAGCTTTTGCGACTGTGACGGTTCGCAAAATTTACTCGTCAAATTGACGGCTGTTCGTAGAATACAATATATAATTTGCATTAAAATAGCAAAGGTGGACGTGTCCCAGAAAAAAGTGGACATACATACTTGCTGCGTTATGTCATTAAAAACCAATACACAACATCTAAAGGTATCTACTTTGTTATGCTGTCTTTTTTGAAGACGAAATCCCGTCAAATTGACGGATGCCGTAAACCTGATGTTAATGTTCGAAGAATTGACCTATGTTGAACTGTATAAAATTTTGACATTTTCATAGTCATATTTTCATATCCTATTTGGATGCTTTAAAAAAGTTTTTAAAGCTTATCATACCCTAATACCGCTTCGACAGAATTCCCTTGCAATTCTTCTTATCAATTAACTTAAGCCTGAGCTGGAATATATAGGTTTTCTCATCGACTTCCAAGGTCCATAGTATGTCTCACTATGTTATGTAGTTCCTACAAAGCTTGTCCTTTTCTTTCTATATCCTTCGAAATTCATATTCGTCAAATTTTAATTTAATATTATTTCTTTCGTCACAAATCGATTAGACAATATTTTTATTAAAGTGATTAGATTAGAAAAAGGAATTATTTGTAAGAATTTATTATACAGAAAACATTAAAAAGAATAGCACACACACACACGATTGCATAGAAAGACAGAGACAGACGTTATTACAATACATACATACATACGAGTAAATATTATACTGCAAAACAAATATCGTTCGCTTAGAAATGTGGTTAAAAGTAAAGTAAGAAATAAAAAAAAAAAAAAATAATGTAAGAACATTTTGTTAAGTGTATGATCCATTCTAATTTAAATGGCAATAGAAGAGAAGAATAGTAGAAGTTAACAGAGTTAGACATGTCAAGCAAATAATTGAAGTGCAAGATTCTTTAGAACACATTTCTATATACTTACAAATTGAGAATCCTGACGGGTAGTGAGGACACACGTCATTTTATTCAATTTATTAGGTTTTTGTTTTGATAGTTGATTTTATTTCATTTCATTTATTTATTTATTTTTATTTATTTATTTATTTATTTATTTTCAATTTATGTATTATTTTGTAGCGAAGAGAAGAAATAGTAGAATCAGTGAGATTTGTCGTATTTTAAGGTAAATGACATGAAAAGCTTATATAAGTATGTAGTTGTTGAGACAATGATAAAAACAAAGGCAACGGCAAAGGCAAAGGCAAAGGCAAAGGATCTTAATCTTAAGATTGATTTAAGCGTTTGAAGCGTAAGCGAGACAAAGCAAGCAGAAAGCAAAGCTTCGCAGAGCTTCATATGTTATGTAAATATGCAATAATTAATGAATTACAAAAAGAAAAAAGGATGCATGTGTCTGAGGACATCATTGGATTGTATTAGTAAAGGTAAAGTTTAATGAAGCAAAGTTAAGATTATTGTATGCGGTGACTGTATAGTTAATTGTGTTTCGTTTTTTACGGGACACTTTTTTTTTTCTTTTTCTTACTATTGTTATTATTGCTATCTTTGATGTTGTTGCTGTTTTTTTTTTTTTATTATTATTGTTGCTGCGGCGTAGGATAAACCAAATTGGAGAACGAACAAACGAACGTAAATGAAAGTTTACTGGCTTCATGTTTTAATATGATTTAAAACCGCATTATACACACGTACACATACATACTTATACACAGACATCTGCCTTGGTTCATAGATAGCATAAGTGTTAAATACACACAGTACATAAAGTATTGTGTATATTTATGATGTATAAACATAGTGTATTATGGTCCGACATCTGTTGAGAATCTTTATATAATATACGGAAATTGTGCTGTGTTTCAATGGCAGACATATTTATGCATGAGCGAACGCCACACTTACAAGCCATTAAACAAAGCCCAAGATTGCACGGATTTTTGTGGCAATTTAATAATAAAAATTTCTCTCTCTTTTTTTTTCTCTCTTAACAATTTCTGTTGTCTTCCTAAGGAGAAGTGTGTCAATTTAAAGCTAATAATATTACAAGGTTTCAAGCAAAGATCATTCTTTTATTAGCAATAATAGATAGGGAAGTAAGTTGATTCTAATTGGAGGGCAAGAAGGACGCTTTGACAAGCGAAATCTAAACAGAAATCGTGTATATTTCATCTCAATAACTCTCTTCGCAAAGCTTTTAATTGGTTAACTTCCCCAGCTGCATTTAAATGATTCCACAGAGATATTTCAATGATTTCTTCCAAAATAGATTAAGTGCCTTTTGCTAAAAAATTAAGGTGAATATTTTAATGGATTCGTCATGTCTTCATTTGAAGAAACATATTTATGAAACTCGTACGTAACAGTTATTTTATAAGCATTCCAATTACGTACGACATTGTGGCGAGAAAAATATTATAAAAAGTAATAAAAAAAAATATATAAAAATCTTCTAAGCATAAAGCTTTAGATGGTCTGCTTTTTGCACGAAACAGAGCCTTATCAATACTTTGAAGCATTTTTCTTACATGCTATCCGGGGTTGCTGTCAATTGGTTTTTACATTCTATGCAGCGACCGTATTAAATTCGTGTGCATATATGCGACACTCAGACAAACTTGAGATAGGCTTTCCTCTTACTCTACCAAACGATTTATAACTATTGGATCCACCTGTCCGTCCGTTTGTCCAGTTGTCTATCTGAAGCCCGTGCATGAAATTTTGTGTTCGTTCTGGCAATTTTCGCGATATTTTGATCGTAGATATATTTTGGGTCAAGCAAAAAGTCTATTGAAACTGGATCGGATCGAACATAAACATTGTTGAACACAAACAAGTTTTCTGCGGCCGAAAGGTTTTAACTTTCAGTAACGTATGATGAGCTTTGTTTAATATAAGATATAAGCGGTAAGTCTACTTTTCGATTATCTCCGTATATATGGGTCCCCATGGTAACAGGGTATAAGATTTCATATCTTATGACGCCGTTAGAAAAAGAATATTATTAAGCAAAGTAGCGTAACGTAATTCGCTTTATCTAACTTTAACTTTTTTTGTAATTTCTTTTACATAACCTGGACGGATTTAACATCTGTTATAGGAATTAATTGGAGTTGGAAAAAAAAAATTTCTTGACCTGTCACACTGAAGTTTAATTGATGACTTTTCACCGCCTTTCTTTTTAAAGATTTTCGCTGGTTTTTTGCGCGACATTTTGTTGTAAAAGCAAACATAGAGGACGGTTTCGTTTGACACCTTTGCTCGGGGTGAGCAGAGTGAATCAAATTTTTAATCATTTTAGATTCCATTTTTCCCTACTTTCCCAAATTTTCGATCGTTTCCTCAAGATTTCACCAATAACCTTAGTGGATTGCCACGGAAATGAAAGCGTATTGCAGAAACTGAAAAGCGAGGTCACGGTAAGCTGACATAAATAATAAAAACAATAAATTAACCTACAGGAGGCCCCCAACACAACATTTAGTGTTCATTTTTAAAAAAGGTAGCTTGCCTTTTTATTAGGGTTACACCTGGCTTCACGCAAGAGCTCACTCAGGCTATAATGGGCTCATCGTCACTTTTTTTGCTGGGAATGGCATTTCGGGTTGAAAAGAGAAAGAGTCGGACATGTGCCACATAATTTATGTAGGTTTTCTAATGAAATTATTAAAGTTTTCAACGTTCAAGTCACAGAAGCTTTGAAGGAGACTTCATAAATGCTTTCAATGGAGTATCTTACGATAATCTTGTAAATACATCCTAATAAATTTCTCAAATTTCTCCTCCTTTTAAATATCAGAACTTAGGTCACTTTAAAAAACAATGATCGGAAAAAAGAGAAAAGAAAATTAAACCAACTTCCGTAGTAGTCCATTAGCCATGTAGGTAGATGATACAGAGATGTATGTATGTGTATATATTGTATATAAGTGTTTTTATGTTTGTTAACATGTTAAATGCCATACTAAGTGGCAGTGCATCAATTATTACTTACCGTTTCGGAACCAGCTGCCGTAACCAGCTCCTGTAGAGCTCTCACAGACAAAGCCTGCTCAATGACAAATACACATTGTGACAGATCAGGTGGTACATTCTTGTCAGCTATATTCTCCAAAAAACAATGACGATTACCAAAACCTTCGGCAGCTAAGCATACACGTTCGCCCGTAGCTGTACATGACAAGCAGACCATGTCTTCCTGTTAAAAGAAAATAGAAAAAACCAATACATATAAATCACAATTAATTACATATTGAGGGAGTAAGAGTGGAAAGCGCAAATGGTCGCGCCATTGCCTGATTTGAATATATCTAGTCAACGAAATGCGAAATGAATGAATTTACTTTCCTTTGGCATCGTCGTCGGTGACAAAGCGCAATAACGCTACGCTTTGATCATTTAGCCCACATTGCCTGACTGACCGCCGGGTGTGATGATGCGGTCAACTGGTTGTGCTAGTGCGAAATTTTATTCATTCATTCGTTCGCTTTTTGTGTACTATAACCGCTTTTAGAATTGCTTTAGAATTGGATCCAACTGTCTATATATATATATACATATATATATATATATATATATATATATATTTATATACATCTGTGTCTAAGTATGTAGGCGTGTAAATTGTATAATTGCAATAGCAGAACGTACCATCATTCGTTTATTCAAATGCTGGTTGGTAGCAATGGCGTGTTATTTAATTCCCACTTACATACATAGTCGTCATCAGTCATTTAGTGATACAATATGTTGTTGGTGGAGACCAGCTTTTCATGTTCAAAATACCGACATGTTGTGGTATTTTGAACTGTGATTGTAAATGAAAACATTGCCGAATGCCAAAGCAATTGCACAGTTTGTGGTGGCCTTCCTCCAGTGCCCAGTACGCTTATGCTTGTGCTTGTGTGGGTGCGAATGAATGTGCGCAATTGAAAAGAATATTTTTACTAAGAATTTTTGTATTTACTTGCATTCGCATTTTAATCAGCAGCAATGAGTATCAATTTCATTATGTGAAATTCTTTTAGAGAATTTACAAACAAAGCGAGATTTTCAAGAGCTTTCCTTTACTGCAACATAGTGGCCTAGATTGATGACATCAGTCCGCTGAATCCGCAATTAACTGCAAGTGGACATTTTTTACATATGCTAACAATTTGAGAAGATTTTCTTTCCGAAATTTCCAATTTGTGACCCTGTTTACGTATATGTATGTAGGTTTATTTGGTATTTTCGGGATAGAATAGAAAGTTTTGAGCTTTCGTTGAGGAGCTAGCTTCTCGTATAATGCGTATACGAATGAGTATAAGAATTGAAAAAGATTAAACTCTTGTTTAAAAAGATAAAAGAATCAGGGAAGTTTGCAACGAAGCGTTCTCACGCATTTCGATACCAGAGAGGGAAAAGTAGAAAAAGTGTAGAAATCTGAAGCAACATTAACTTGACGGTCTAAAGTATGTTCACTCATGTGTCTATCCTTCTTTAAATTTAATATAATTTCTCTCCAGTGGTCATTATTGAAAAGACGTTTACAACACTCGCTCATTAATGCAAAAAGATGAAAGGTGAAACAGAGCAATGCGTATACTCCGGAAGGTAAACGCAACGATTCTATTCAAAAAGTTGCACGTTTCTATAATAAGTTCAACACTAACGTTCCTTTTTTGACTATAGAAATAGAAACTATAGAAATCTACAGAAATATTATAGCGAGGGAAAGCCTATTATTTATTACCTCGCCTTTATCTTCTTTCGTTTTAGGATATAAAAAATTGTGCCTTGTTGTTGTATAAAGCTTGACTTTCTTCTGGGAATTCTTGCACGGTAAACCGCTCATTAAATACACCTATGTGGCCTTATTACTCCCAATCGCCAGCCTAATGAAACCTAGCCGCAAGTTAAGACTCATTTTTCCTGATAAATAGGGCTATATGAGGGCCATATATGAGGGCCCGCTATTCATGAGTAAGCTTATTATAGGGCTCGAAGAGTAGGCTTGTGTGGTTACGAATTTCTTTTTCTCACTTTTAAGTCAGATTATTATTATGAACAAATTTTCACCAGAATAAAATCACAGCAGAAAGGTTCAGTTTTAGTAGGAACGATTATGAAGGCGTTAGAAAGTTGCCTCATCTGAATGATATTTTTCACATCAATTTGGTATTTGGACATATAATTACTTAGCGATTTTTATGAATAGATTTTAAAAATTGCAATTTTCAAAACAATGAGTTACGTGGAGGATAGCCATAGAGATCGTCCGATTCAATCCATTTTCAATTTGCGCCAAAGCTCGTGAATATAACTAATATTAAAAAGACAAGTACTTTGCATGCAACATGGACACAGATAAAGAGACGAAGAAACTAACAGCCAGGCAGGTATGCTTTAATCTGTATATGTAACGGTTCAGTGTAAATATTTTAGTATAATGTCTCAAGTCCTTGCTGGAGTTGCATACATCTCTTCTAAATTAGGCCGGGGCGGGCATTGGCAACTGCTGGCCAGCGGGCCGCATCCCCATCGAATAATTCAATAATGCTCGCACACAGCAATCTTGCAAACGGATCATATCTGCCGTCTTAGCTGTGCAGCTATCAAATCTGAAGTCTGTTTAAGTATTTTTTCTCTGAGAGAAAACTAATGCAGAAATAGTTGGATTTTGTTTTATGAGCCCGTAGATGAAAACAATTGGCCACTCACCTAGTCTAGGGTATGAATTTAACATTTTAGTTTTAAAGCGCTTCTGGCGAGATAATGTTGAGGAACTGATCGCTTGAAAATCAATATTTTATCTTTTCCATACCATTTAAGAATGAAAGTTCCATTTTGTCTCTAATGATAAACGTGGTCTTCTGGCTATGGCTGTGAAATCCGCTCAATGGTCGTTATACCATAGCCTCTCCATCCCCATAGGGTATGTTAAAAACCATTGTTTCCCTTACATATAAATCTGTTTCGCAAATATTATGAAACGAGTAAATCCTAACACTTTTGTCTCTTTTTATTCAGTGGTTTAATTTATTGTTCGTTCATATTCAATTCATTTTATACATACTGCAGGAATATTTATTATTGTTACATATTTTTCAAAGCATTATCCAACTGACTGCAGTATATGCTTCGCGTCTGACGTATTCAATTCAAATTTTTAATATTTGTTATGCCTTACGAACGCTAACAATTATTTTACTCAAATGTCTAACATATGATAGAAAATACACAAACACTGGCAGTTATTGTCCGTGGAAGAGAAGAGTTTACTATCGATAGCTATATAAACTTTAAGCCAATAATCAATTGTTATTGATGTCAATTCGTTCATATGGTCAATGCATTGGGGACTGCGCTGAGATGTAATGACGATTATTGGCCGCAAACCCTGATGGTATGAGACGGAATTTTGCTAAAGATTGGGATTATTGGGGAAAGAATAAAGGCGTCTTATGCAACTAGCGGTTTGAGCGTCTTCATAATTTTCTAAACGTTTGAGATTGACTTTTCATGCAAATTTTGTTTTTTTTTTTTTAATTGATAATCGTAAGCTTAAGGAACTAACCGTAGAAGATTATCTCAACAAAAGAAATTTTATTTCGTTTTTCATTTAATTAAAAGAAGAAGAAAACAAACAAAAAAATAACCGGTAATATAATCATATTCAGTTATAATCGAATCTTTTATACCCATCACCGTTATCCTAAAAGAGTGGAAAAAAAAAAAGTGAAAGAACTAAATATTCATGCTCTATAAATTGAAGTGGGCGCGGCTGATTTATTCCAAATAAAAGTTGTTGCCCTCGGAAAAATTTAATTCATTTCTAAATTCTTTTACAAACAGACGGACAGATAGACAGACATGTTTAAGTGCATTCCAAATTTGAAATTGTCTAAGAGTTTATCTATTTGATCGGGTTTCTGAAGGTTGTTTCTGCGCCTTACAGAGGTGTTCTCAAGTTACGTCGTTGCTATGGGCGTGTCCTCCGACCGATTTCGCCCACTTTCAATACCAATCGGCGTGCAAGAGCATCCAGTTTTATCGCAAAATTTGAAGTCGATAGCTTCATTTGTTAACGGACAGACGGACATGCTTAAATCAATTTAGAATTTGATGCCGATCAACAATATATATACACTTCGCGGGGTCTCTGATGCTTCCTTCTGGGCGTTGCGAACGTTTTCACAAAATGAATATAATCCTCATCCTGCAGTGATGGGTATAAAAATATCTGATTTAGTCATAAGTTAAGAGTATGCGAAATATGTACACCAGAGAGAACTTCAAAATAATTCTTGCATTTCTTAACTGAACTTGGAATTTATATTATTATGCATTATATTGAATGCAATCAGTTGTAGGATTTACAAATAATACGTTAAAGCAAAAATAACTTTGATTTGTAAACCGCAATAATTTGAAGAGCATTAAATTTATTGCCTTCTTTGAACTAATATCAACTTGACTATTGCCACATATCCATGAACTTCTGTTATTCTATAGTAAGGAGCAAAAATCTACAGTCAAATTCTTGACTCTCTTTGACCAACAATTATTTTCTATAGACACACTAAGGGTGAGTTATATTAAATTGATCACTTTTAATGGCAGTTTTATAAATCACCTGAGGAAAGATTCTAAAATATCTTTCCAATAAAGTAGTTCGTCCACCTGAAAAACTCACAAGAGCGTCCACATAAAATTCCGCAGAGCAAGAGAACCGTGCTCTCTTCTCATTAGAAATACATCGCTTAGCATTTTTGTCAAATTTAACGGAAACGCATGTAAAACGGATTAAAAGCTCTTTTTAGGGCAATAAATGGTATTGCACGGTATTTTTTAGATCGTTTATCTTCAAACTTTCTTGATGTTCGATGCATATAAACTTGGAATAGATTCTCTATACAGGAACTTTTTTCTGGGAATCTTAGTGTTTACAGGTTTTTGTTCTAGAAACCCGAAGTTTTTTGATTTAGTTTGTAGATGAGTCAGATCCATTTCGGAATTCAGTTTAAACAAGTGGCAGCTTTCTATCCTATTCTGCCATGATTGTATGCAATGTACGTTTCTCTCGACAATTCCCGCAGATTAGGGTGTCCCTCGCATGCCTCCCTCTTCCCCATCCACCCCCCAGGGCAAGGCGGGATTGGCAGAGAGAAATGTCCCGACACATGATGATACACGAAAGCGCGCCAAGACCCCAAG